GTGAGCTGTGCAACAGCTCTGCCACTGCCACTGGCATCGGGGCCACCAGGAGCAATGTGCAGTAAGCTCCACCGTGGTAGGGCTGCTGGCGGCACCTACCCCACAAAGCAGCAGAAGAAGCCCAGCAGGAAGCTCATGAGCCCAATCTCGTAGGTGATCTTGGTGGTGATGGCTTGCTGGCAGTGGGGACACACTGTCTGCACCGGGGCGCCCTGGAAGATCTCGCCCTGCAGCACGGTCACTGTGGTGGCAGTCCCTGAAGGGACGAGCACCGTCGCCGTGTGGCCGCTGGGAGATGGGTAGTGGCCTGGGGCAGGGTAGTAGCCCATGGGAGGGTGAGGGCCTGGGGGTGGATAATAACCTGCTGGGAAACAGAAACAGGCACAGATGTGTCTTTGCGTGAGGTGAGGGAGGCCATGTCTCCAAGGGCCGTGCCCTGCTGCCGTACCACGACCGCAGTTATGTGTGTGGGCAGCCCTACTGCAGGCTGCTTGCTGCAGGCACTGAGCCCCCCTCCTGCCCAGCCCCCGTTCATTGCCTTCCCTCACCCAGCACCACCCCCTGGCCCGCAGCTCCTCCCCACACTCACCAGGCGGCATGTAGGGCCCGGAGCCTTCTGTGGGCATGTGTGGGGGCACGAAGCCCGGCTGCGGAGGCTCATACGGGGGGGGGTCCAAATTCAGGAGGAGGGATGGGAGCCCCCTGGGGCTGCACCATGGCTGGGGAGATGCCATCTGAAAGGAAACACAGAGTGAGCAGCCACGGCAGGAGGCAGCAGACAGTGGAGGTTTGGCTGAGCGATCCGGAGCCCTTGCGGGGAAAGAGGACACAGCATGAGAAGGAGGGACTGTGAGGAAGGGGAATAAAGCACACAGGGAGGGTCTGTGGCAACTGTGGGGACACGACAGAGAACACAGGGAAGTGTCCATCAGGCACTGCCCCAAGGCAGCACGCCCAGGGCCACAAGAAGCCCAAATTCATGCAGCAAGCGGAGCTCCCCCTGCTCCTGCCTGCTCAGCAGAGGCACCCTGCTGGCAGCTGGGACCCTCAGTACCTGTTGCAGGGGGTGGGCCGTGCTTCTCCTCTATCGGCGGTGCTGAGGGGCCTCCAGGATAGGGTGGTGGAGGGTCGTTGGACATGGCTCAGGGCTGCCCTGCAAAGAAGCGCTGTTAGCAGACAGCCTGCCTTGGGAGCTATGGGGTGCTGGCTGGGAGCTGACTGAGAGGCCTGGTGGCACTGCAGCAATAGCCTCAGCCTCAGAGGGCAATACAAAGCCTACAAAGCCTTGGCCACAAAGCTGGGCAGGCCCTGAGCTGGGTTACAAACCCAGGGTGGAACGCTGCCTGATGGCTCTAAATTGCAGCGTGAGGTGGCACAGGCTCAATGGCTGAGAGCTTACCCGGCCTCTTCCTTGCAGCAAGGAGCTCAGCGGTTTTGCCAGAGGTAGGAATGCCAGTTCTCAGCAGTGCACCCTGGAAACTGTCCTACCCCACCAAACCTGTGCAAAAGGAGAAAGCAAGCAGGTTACAGCACTGCAAAGCTGCCTTGGCTGCATGCCCTTACCTCCCCTCCCCAGTACTGGTATGGGAGAGCAGCTCTGGGCACCCCATTGGTGTCTGGCACAGCTGCTCTGCCCTCAGCCCATCGCAGAGCCCCACCTGCATGCTCTGAGACTGGGACACAGCCTGGGGCAGTTCTCATCCTGTGGGCTGGGGATTCCCCTGCAGATCCTGCAGTGCTGGGGCTGCTGCACCACCCGGCATGCATGGCGTAGGCCCCAGCCCTGTGTGCAGGGGACCCAGCAGGGATGGGAGCCAGAGGCGGGCCTGGCACTCCAAGGAAGTGCAGTGACATCAAGCAACCCGATTTTCCTGTTTACTCTGGCTCAGTTACAGCTGGTAGGACGTGACTAAATTGGGAAACATACCAAGAGGCTGTTCACTCTGCTCGGGAAGGCTGCCATCAAGCACCGGGCAAGGGACACTGTGACATTGCTGTCAGTGCCCAGGAGGCAGTGCTTGGAGCTCCCCCCGGGGCTGAGCACAGCATCCAAATCCCCCAGCAATGGTTCCCGGCAGGCCGGGGCACATGGACTGTGCTGCTGCAGTGCCCCGGTGCTGCTGCTGCCCCGGGGACCAGCTTGGTGCACTGAGGAGCTGAGCAGAACCCAAACAGCCACTGCATCTCTCCAGGATGTCAGTATTTACTGAGAAATACCTCTGCCCAGCATTATTAACTATCATAATACAGACACGCTGCTTCCAATCACAATACTGGGGCAGCTGGGGAGTCATCTTCCTCTGTTTTCTTCCTTAAAAGCAGGCACACAGCCCGCATGAGGCTCACACAGCGCTGCCATGCGGAGCAAAGCAGCCATCCCCAGCGCACCGAGCGCTGCAGAGCTCTCCTCCTCCCGTGACCTACAAAGCCACAAACTGGGCCGTGCCCCTTTTAGCTTCACTGGGGATGTAAAGAAAAAGGTTTGTTCTTCTGAAGGCAGCCAGCCCTCCTGCCCTGCGTGGGGCTCCTGCAGGAGCACAGCCCACTGGGGCAGCCCAGACCTCCCTCTGTCGCACATGGGAAAACCCCATCACTGCTCAGCTCTGCCTTCCCAGAGCACGGCATCTCGCAGCGTGCCCTGGCCACCATCCCACGCCACTAACAAAGCACAGGGAGATGAGCCCCAGGGGCAGTGCCAGCCCTGTGCTGCAGCACTTGTTCTGAGCCCGGCACCAGGAGCTGCTGCCTCCAGCTCAGAGCACAGGCTGATGTTTGGGACCGGTTGTTGCCATCCCACACCAGCTGCCCCTGGCCCGAAGGGATGGCCGTCAGAGGAAGGGAGGATGTTTATGGGCCGCAGAGCTGCTCTGCTCGTGCTCAGCCACTCCTAATGCAACATCCTGCTTATTAAAAGAGATCCATAAAGTGCGAGATGTTGCATGTGCCCTTCCCTGGAGGAAAGGAAAGCCTGCTGCTGCTTCTAAGCCTTTCAGAAGCCATTCCTCCTACGCTTTCTTTTATCTCAGGGCAAGAAGCACAAAGCCCATTGCTGCCCATTTCCACTCACTGTAAAGAAAGAGCTCCATGAGGAGCACAGGGCTCCCCAGCACAAGGCTGGTGCCAGACAGAGCTCACTCCACACATCGCTCCCAGCACTGCATCCCAGCACAGCTGGAGGTGAGCACCCAGAGGGAGAAAAGTTGCACAGACAACTCAGGCTAAGTTTACTGGGACCTGAGCTGAAGGTCTGATGGAATCACACAAATACTCCATACGTGTCCTTTGAGGACCTGGCTCAAGATCGTTTGACCCAACAGGAGCTGGTAACCAGTAAAAGGATGGGGATGGACAGAGGAGATGGCACTCCCAGCCAAAAATGCAGAGTTCTAAACTGAAGGAGCAGAGCCTGGATCCACTCAGTGGATGGGAAACCTTGCGGTTTTCAGCCTAGGTTTATTTGTACTCAGATTACCTCCACCTGCTCCTCAGCCTGAACAGCCTTTCCTGCTCTCCCACTGTCTGCCAGCAGCCACCATCGCAGCTCAGGCTGCATTTGGCACACAGAGCTCCTGCAGGCGTTTCTGAACCATGATCCTGGTGCCATCCTGCTGTCCCCTCAGGTCTGAACAGCCACAGTGACCTCAAGTCATGCTCAGCAGTGAGCACCTCCTGTGGTCCTCTGGGTGCTGGTCCTCTAAGGAGCCGGTGCTCCTTACGGGTGGCCAAAGCACAGCTCTCCACACACTGTTCGCATGGCAGCATCAGATGTTGCTGCACCCCGATCAAAACAGCCTGTTTGTTCATTACTCACTCATTCTATAGAATTTTTTCAGAGAAAGTCAAAGAATGCAACGACACTGCTGCTGAATGGAGCTGAATGGATGTGGGGCTCCCATTAAATAACAAACTGAGAGGAAGAAACAAGAGTCATACAGGATGGAGACAGAGACACATTTCAGCCAGGACCAATCAGTGCCCAGACCCCATTGGAGCTCCCTCGCAGACTGTGCAACACAGCGAGATGACTTTGAATACACGAGTGATGATTCCAGGCCCACTTTCCTTCTACAACACATGTCCAAGTACTGATGTTTCCTCAGCCAGAGCTCACTGCAGGACCAGCCGCAGCCTCCGAAACACCAGCATTTCTGTCCCCCCCCCAGCAGTGCTGCCTGGCACCAGCAGAGCTGCTGACACTCCTATTTAGCAGCACAGAGTCACCTTGTGTTTTTCCAAAGGACTCATGAGAAATACTCACTGTCATCTGCTTTTTTAAAGGCCACAGCAGTGAAGCATGGTTTGGGATTGAGTAGGATCTGAACCCTTGCCAACTCCTCACCCCAAACCTGCTGCTCAACAGTGGCATGCGGAGAACTGCCATGCACCCATCGCTCTGCTCATGCCAGAGCTGCTCCCCACCATTCTCTTCTGCTGATGGTTGCTGGGAGGCACAGCAATCCTACAGGACACACAGAGAGCCACAGCACTTGCCCTGCTCAGACACAAGCAGATCCGACGTAACTCAGCTACCACGCTCAGTGAGGTCTGCAGCTGAGCATACAGTGCTGTGTGCCCTTGGAAGACAAGGGAGAAAGAACAGACAGTGGCCTCATACCTCCCCAGGACAGCTCTGGGCACCATCTCCATTGAGGCATGTGCGGGATGTGAGCCACATCAACCCCACAACAGCAGACACAGAAAGCAGAAGGCCTCTTAAAACCCAGGCACTTCCACTGATTTCAAAGCATCACTAATGCTCAGCAACGCCCCCAAGCCTCCCTTCTGAGCTCTTCTAAAGCCCTTCTCTGTCATTACCTCTGCCTTACTGTGAGATGCTGGTTAGAGGGTTTCCCAAAGCCCCAGGACTGAAGCTATGTGCAAAGGCTGGATCATCACCGGGTTTTCCAGCTGCAGTGCCCTCAGGAAGGCTGATTTCATCCAGCAGAGCCAGTTCTCAGAGCCTCCTCACGCAGAAATGCTTTTATCTTGGTTGGCTTAACAACAAAACAGCATATCCAAAAACGTGGGGGGATGCTAAAGAAGAACACTGCCCCTGCATGGCACAACTCACAGCAACATAGTTAAGCTTGCTAGCGTTCGTTGGTGGATATTCCTGCCCTGCAATTCTTATCTGGATAACAGAAAGAGCCGTGTCTGGATCAAGGAGATAAGGAAGTTCCGCTGAGTCTTTGCACCAAGGAAACAGGAGGTCCTGCTTGGAATCGATCACTGAATATGTAACACGCTTCTGGGAAACTTCTGCATATGTAACACAAGTAATGCATATAAACTGAAGATCTTTTGTGTAAGCTGTGCATAATAGCAGGATTACTCTTATGCATCCACTGTTGACATTGAAGAACATCTGCTTTATAACACTCTAACACGAGCCTTAGAGAGTTTCACACCCAACTGTCTTAGGGCATCATGTGCTTTGAGTTCTCTGATGCTTTTGTCTGAGACTTTGTAGCAGAAACGCCAAGTCATGGCCTGAAGCAGTGATGGAGCACCTGGTGGGAAGGCAGGGCCAGCCCAGGGGAGCTCAGGTGCGAGCAATGCATTGAGTAACCAGAGGGGCTGGAGCCAGGAACCTCCCCTTCCCACCCCTCATTTAAGGGCTGGCAGTGGAGGTGAGGGTAGCTCTCTGGAGATCCCTGCTTACCTGAAGTTTTCTGAAGGTAAGCAGCTTCTTTCCTTTATTTCTGTGCCTAATGCTGTTGCTTTTGAGTGAATCCTCACTTGCTGCACCCTGGGATCTTGCTGTTCTGCTACAGATGTTTCTTTTGGCAACAATTTGGAAATTTGGGAAAACACAGAGGACCTCTGTTGCTTTTAAAGTCAGCTGTATTTTCAAGGCAAAATAGATACTGGTTCTGCCTGCTTCCCACTTGTCTAAGTCTTAACAGAAAGAGCATTGCTCTTAGTAAGACCAAAGCTATTCAGCAAAGATAACTGAATAAGGGACACCATATCAGCTACTTGAGATGATTCAGTAATTCAGGAACAAGGAAAAGATCGGAGGGAAGCAGGGTGTAACAACAAGCGAGAGGAGAAAACAGCAAAACAACACGAGGGTCTCCTTGCTCCTATCAGCTGGGAGCTGCTGGCCAACAACAGCCCATCCAGCAACCAGGAAACAGAGCTGTGGGAAGGGCTGAGTCATGGCCAAGGGGGGAGGAAACACGGACAGCAGCTGTGCTGGAGACCAAAACTCAGGACTCCCCCACCCAGTCCTGAAAGCTCAGGCTATGGTTAAGCTTTCCTGACATCTTTCCATGTGACAGTCTTCGTTCTGTGACCTAAATGAAATCGATTGTACAATAATTCTCCTGGGTACAGCAACCTTCGCCCGTAATCTCAAAGATTACACCTACTCTCCAGCTGTGGGGCTTTGGGAAGACACAGAGGGATTTCTGAGCACCAAGGGCTTATTTTTAATGCGATTGGTTGGCTGCTCCTCCCAAATGACTGAGGGGGCTGTGTCTTTCTCATCAGCTGCTTCAGAGTATGTTAAGAAGAAAAGGCTCTGGATCTCCCTTGCTCCCCAAGGTCCACCAGATTGGTGCTGCAAGGTAACAAAGGCCCTCTGGTGGAGATCTTCCACCTCAATGCAGAGACTGGGATCAAAGCAGGTGTGGGACATGCACAAAGGGGATGTTTGGTGGAGGGCCCACCATCTCAGCATATAACTTTGAACACTTAAACTGTAAGATATTGTTCCACCTCCATTGCAGCCCTGTGCCTGTTAGGCTGCCAGGCAGCCTTTTCTTTCCCAGAACACAGCAGATGTCAGGCAGACCACAGCCACGAGACACCTGGGAGTGAATGAGCTGAAAGCAATGCTTCAGCAGCAGAGAAGAGCTTCTGTCAGCATTCTGTGCCAGAAGTAAAAGCGGTGCTCCCCCGGCCTCTGTACTGATGAGAAAATGGACTGTGATTTTTATGGCCTCTGTGTTAATTGTGTTCCCTTTGACGTGAGGAGAAGCACACAGTGCAGCATGCATGGATTTGATGCTGCCTGTGGAAGCTGTGCTGCTGCTCATGGGACTGATACAGGGAACAACAGGAAAACAGCAACGGGGAACAACAGGAAAGCAGCGTGAACGTCACGTCCCAAGGAGAAGTTGTGTGCCACATGTTTTCTGAAGATAAAACGGGTACAAACATCTGTTTGTAAAGTGGCACACTCCCAAACCTTGCTCTGAAATCCTTGGGAGAACAAATCGCACCTTCAGGCTGCAGCTCTTTGTCTTCACAAGGGCTGTAAAACCAGACCCCAGAAGTGAAAAACAAACCTGAACTCCACAAAGATCAGCAGAGCAGCTGCAGTTCCCATGACAAACTACTACCCTCAGTGCACTGGGCAGAAAGAAGAGCACTGTGTGATTAACTGTTCCCTCTTAGAACATCAGGCAGCGATACTATCAGCACCCACCTGCCGTTCTCCAGTTCCCTGCCCTCCCTGCTCTCAGCAGCTTTGCATGGGGTCACTCTGGGAGAGCAGCTCCTTGTTGCTGTGTCCTTTCACGTTTCACTTAGAAGCTGGCAAACCTGTCCCAAATCCTGAAATTAAAATTCAGCCCTGCTGCCTTCGTTATTACTTTAATCTTTACATTGCTTAAATACTATTTGCTCCTGCTCTCAGCTGGCAGCCATCAATTTTATCCCAGTGCAAAGTAAACGTGTCTTCGTGTAGAAAAACTGTCTCATCACTGTCAGACACTCAGCACGTGCACATCCTATGGTAATACCAGCAGTAATGCACGGCCTGGCTGCAGGCCCTACAGAAATTATACCAAAAGACTGTTGAAGACTTAGCTTCTTTCAGGCTAAGTTATTGTCTTCCAATTAAAGCAATTGTAACAAACTGAGCTTTATAATGGCACTACAGACAGATGTGGAAGACTTAATATCATTTTTCTTCTTACCTATAGCAAAAAGAAGACCTTAGATCTGAGTAGCTACAGAAGACTGCCTGCCTCCTTCCACAACCACTTGAGCTGGAAGAGTTCTGTACCAATGACACACCTTAAATGCAAGTATTTGTCTAATTCTGAATTGAAGGGGCAGGGGAGCCTGCAGCCTCCTCTTGTGATTTTGATAAGGCTGGCACTGGGAGCGATTGTTTGAGAATGCAGAACCTGCAGAGCACAGTACTGGTGCTGTGGGCACACCCTGTCAGAACACCTTTAGCTGGAGGAGAGCATCCACTAGTTGTGCTCCATCCTGAGGAGAGCAGTAACCGTGCTTTGCATCACTGCATGACATCGCATGCGCAAAGCGTGGTCAGCTGGGAGGTGAGTTCCAAAAATATGCTCAGAAAATGAGACATGGCACTGACAGAGACACATTCCCTCCTTAACAGTAGCTCCAGTCAGAGCAGGTGCCTGAGGAACTGAACTTCAGGTGGACTGAAGTTGTGTAGGACCTGTTGAGGGAGCACAGCAAGACCTCGGCACAGCCTTCTGTCTTGGGAAGGGCTGCGGCTCTGAAGGAGAAGTTCCTTCTCTGCTGCCTGTCCCAGTCACACTATAGGTACTCAGCACAGCCTGACCCAGCCCCGTGTGGATGCAGCCACCAGAGCCCAGCTCGGGGCATGCCTGGGAGAGCTGCTCCACCATCACGGCCTTGCCCCCTTCTGCCCCAGCCCACACTACAGTGCAGCCTTGCAGGCATTCATAAGGCTGTTCTCTTTCTATCTTCCTCACAGAGCGCCCAGGGACAACAGAGCAGCCACGTTGCTAGCTGCTCCAGAGATCTCCTGGGCACGTGGATGTGGCTGCACCATTCAGCCAGGGAAACCTTTGGGGAAGTTCTCAGCCTGCACTTCCCACGGTGACCCGAGGTTGTTCTGTTCCTAAGTACGAACGAGCGACGCGTTATGGTCATCCTGTACTCACACACCCACGCTCGCAGAGACCCAGAAAGGCTTCAGCCTGAGCGTGGCTCCTTCAGGCAGCCCAGAGGAGAGCAGCACAAGGGGCCCGCAGCTCCCAGCAGCCGAACGCCTCCGTAACAGCTGTGGCAGCTGCCGCTCCGATCCCCGTGGGAGGCAGAACCGAGGTCTGTGCGCTCCCGTGGCTGGAGCCTCCTGCTAGTATTTCCTAACGGGAGCGCGCTGTTGCACAACGGCATCCATGAGCAGGAAGGGCTCTTCTCGTTTCACGGGGAGCTGCCAACGCGCTGACGGACGCCGCCTGCACCGTCCCCATCAGCCGCAGCGTTTCTCTCTCCCCGTCTGTTCCGGCCCCGCTCCCCTTTTCCCGCAGGCCCTCGGCGGGCCGTACGACAGCCTCCGTTCCGCCTATTTCCGAGCCCGTGCCCTCGCTCCCACACGGTGACATTTCGGGCCCCGGCACGCCCGACCCTTCCGTCCCCGCGCCGCCGGCACAGCCGGGCCTCCCCGCCCCGCTCCGGCTTCGCCTCCCGAGGCCGCTTTGCCCGCGGCACGGAGCCCCGGCTTTCCGTCTCTCGGCGCCCCGCGCGCTGCCCTTCCCGGCCCCGCACACGCACCTACCGCAGCGGGCCGACGGCTCCCGGCGCTCTGTGCCAGCACCTGCGGGGCGTGGCGCTGCGCTGCGGGGCGGGCACGGCAGAGGCCTGCGGAGCCGCGGCCTGGCGTAGCGGGGCGGGCCGGGCGCCCCCTCCCCGCGGGCGGCTGTCAGAGCGGCCCGGCTACGCCGTGCGCCGAACCGCCGGCGGCTCGGCCCTGCGCTGCGGGGTGGAACCCCCGGCTGTCGCCGGGTAACGGCGCTGTGACCTCAGCCCGCCGGCCCGGCCCGGGCGCCGGAGGCGACATGAGCGTGGCGGTCACGTTGGTGGAGCTGGCGGATGTCGCCTTCCGCACGGCCCGTGGCTGCGGTGTCAACGCCGGCGCCCTGCAGCTCCTCCTGCGCGGGCTGCTGGAGCACCTGCGGCTGCAAAATGCCGCCACGCACCTCTCCGAGGACGAGAGGGGCGTCCTGCAGCCCGAGGTCAGCGCCAGGCCCCCCATTCTCCTCCGTCCGGGCCATCCCGGTGGGTCCCTGGGCGTGACGGAGCTGCTGAGCTCTGGGCAGGGACCAGGCACGCCGACCGCTGACACGGAGCAGATGGTGCAGCTGAGGAAGAGGATAGAGGTGATTGAGGAGGGGATGACAAAGGTGAGGAGCCATCCTCAGCATCCTGCCCTACGCAGTGCAGTGCCCGTGTTGTGTCATGTCCACATCCCCAGAGATGTCTCCTCAGACAGGACTGGAGAATCTGGCATAGCACAGGGCCGTATTTCTAGTTCAGGTGATGGTAGCTTAGCTATGAGGTTTCATTAGACTGCAATACGTTAACATTGCCCTGGCCAAAGGTGGTTTTGGCTACTTTTTATCTGCCCCTTTTTATCTGAGGAAATGCCTCCATTGCATGATGCACACTTTGTGATGTAATCTGCTGACAGGTACTTCAGGTTGCCCAGGGAAGGTGAAGGTGCCCCATTCCTGGAAGCACACAGGGCCAGGCTGGATGGGATCCTTGGCAGCCTGAGCTAGTGTTCGTTTGGCAACTCTGCCTATGACAGTGGGGTTGGAGTTTGATGATGTGGCAGCCCCTCTGGGTCTGAGCTCTGTGTCCCAGAGGGCCCTCCAGTCCCAGGTGCGGCATGCTCAGAGGCACTGGCTGGGCACTGTTCCTCAGGTCACAGACACACTACAGGAGGTGCTCACCAACACCTGCTCCCTGAAAACCACCATCCAGGCCTTCCAGGAAGAGCTGCAGCTCCTGAAGGACAGTTTCCAGAAGGTATGTGAGTGGAGCTGGGCACTTGGTAAATAGCTCTTAGCAGAAGGGGGGGGGGGGGGGGTCAGACTCTATGGGCACCACCACGTATGGCAAAGGGGCACGGGGTTACAGGGATGAATGGAGCTGGGATCTGCCCAGGGGTTTTGGAGAAACAATGCCCAGCAGTGTCCAGCACAGGCATTGTTTGGCTGCATGGAGCCTTTACTGGACACTGCTGACACTGATACCAGTCTCAGTCCCTGTGGGTGCTGAGCCCTTTGATGTCCCTGTTTATCAGACTGGTCTGGAGGAGCTGCGAGAGCAGGTGATACAGCAGGACAAACACAGCCACCTCCTGCAGAACATCCTGAGCCAAATGGTGAGCCTGGCAAAGCGGCTGGAAGCAAGTACCCAGCCCCTGGCACTGACTTTCAGGGTTGGGGACAGCATGGTGCTGGGTGTGCTGGCCAGGTTTGGTGTCCTGTCCTCACTGCAGGGGCTGCTCAGGCTCTCCCTGCCACAGCAGGGCTGATTTCTCTGCTGGTCACAGGTAGAGGTGCGGCAGCAGCTGAGCTCCTTCCCCTGGCAGACCGGAATGCTGTGCTCGCTCTGCAGGCTGCCTGCTGGTGAGGTTTGTGCATGCTCCTGGTTACCAGCTCCTTTGCTGGAGGCTGGCAGGGCTCTTCTCCTTCCCCTAAACCTTGGGGCTGTTTCATTTCAGAAGCTTTCCAGCCAGGACCTCATGCCTGAGTCCTCACAGGAGCCAGCTCTCGAGGCCCCATGCAGGCTGAGCGGGCTGTTGGAGCAGCACGAGAGTGTGGAGACCTGCATCACCTGCAGCAAGAGCACGCTTCAGCAGCACGGTGAGCACTGACTTATCCACCGTGTTGGGTCACTGTGCTGGGCTGAGCCACTGTGGCCTTGCTAGGTGCAACACGTGGCAATGGCTACACTCAGCCATCTTTGCTGAGTCTTCACTCCACTGCAGCCCCTGTGTCCCTCTGTCTTTCTCCCAGCCACACTGCCTGCAGCAAAGCTTTGGTGTATTTTCAGCTGGCCTGGGGACCTCAGAGGATGTGGCCACAGAGAAGATGCCGGGAGAAGTAAGGCACCTGTAGGACAAAGGAGAGAAAGCGTCCAGTTGCCCAGGCCTCAGGGGTGCTGCCCAGTGGCTTGGGGGCTGCAGCCCACTGCTCCACTCACCAGGAGCACACTGGGGCCACTCATGAGCCCACCTCATGTGGCTTCCTTGTGCTGTACACTTGCCAGGGGTCAGATTTTGGCAGGGAGGTGCTGAACCAGGTGGGACATCTGCAAGAGCAGTGCACAAGACTCCAGGAGGCTGCAGAGCAGCTGTGGGGTGACTCCAAGGGCACTCAGGTGAGTGTGGTCACCAGCTCAGCTCAGGAGCCACTCGTGCTGTAGTTAGTGTCAGGTCCAGGCTGGAGGCAGGCCTGTCCAGCCTTGGTGTGTCCCCACCTCAAGTTGTTCAGCGTGGCAGGATTTTGCAGGCTGTGTGCTGTTAGAATGGGGCGTGGGTGTTGTGAATAGGGGCAGAGCATGGGCGTGCAGGGATGGAGGTCTGCTGGAGATGGCTGACACCATATCCTCTCAGAAAGCAGATGAGACTACACTGGAGACCAAAGCAAGCCAGGATGAGTTACAAAATACCATGGCCCAGCTGAGTGAGATGATGCAGGACTTGCTGCAGAGGATGTTCCTGCATGGCCAGGACAGGCATAAAGCCTCAGAGCTCACCAGAGAGAGGAACTCCAAGGTAGCAGTGTCACCCAGAGAGGATGGAGGGACGTGCCAGACCAGGGGACGGTATCCCTGTGTATAGTCTGCAAAGAGAGGGCAAGCGCTGAGCCTGCCTTGTGCCAGGGCTGGGAGAGTCCTGGGGTGTTGCCAACATCCCCCAGGGGCAGCAGTGTCCCCAAAAATGGGCTTGGTGTCCCTTTGCCCTTCCTGAACTTGTGCCGTATTGTGCAGGCACAGCAGCAGCAGACTTGGAGGCTCAGCAAGCAGTGCCACTGCCAGAGACCTTACTTGGACACCAGCAGTGCCAATAGACTCAAGAGGTGAGGGCTGCTAGTTCTTATTCTACCCCACTTCACACTACCCTGTCCCTCTCTGTCCCATCTCATCACTTCCAATCCTGTCCCGCCCTGCCCTGTCCATCCCATACAGATCCTGTTTGTCCCACTCTGCCCATGGGGTGCTGGCCACCCATGGGATTCCCCCATGGTCCCCGCCTGCCAGTGGGATGCTGAGCAACTGCCCCTATGTTGCAGGAACATCTCTGATCCCATGAAGTGCATCTCCTGTGACAGACCTCTGGCTGCAGCCCCAAGGCTGTGAGTAGTGTGCAGACTGTGCGCTGCACCTGCACTACTGCCCAGCTCTGCCTTATTTTGCTCACCTGCAGGCCTTTGGTGACAGTCCGGAAGGCCAGTGCTGGTGGCTCCAACTGCCTGGCACAGCAGCTGCCAGGAAGGTGAGGCCAGGGAGGTCCCTGCCTCTCCCTCTGGGGTCCCCTTCCCTTGGCAGTAATGGTAACATCAGTTACCATCTCCTTCCCAGGGAGACCAAAGGGCGCAACCAGATCAGCCGGGGTCCCACAGCTCCCACCAGGCCACCGTCTGCCTCCAGCTCCCTCACTACCATCTGTCCCTTCGGAGTCCCTGCAGACCTCACCTACAACAATGTGAGGCCCATCCCTGTGTGATGTGTGTGCTAGAAACCAGCTGTGCCCAGCTGGGGTGGGATGCTGGGAGCTGAGCACCTCCAATGGCATCTGCTGCTCCTCCCTGTAGGGTCAAGTGGATATTTTGGGCATTGATGGAGTCATCTACAAGGGCAGGCTAAGCTCACAGGCCACCAATGGGACAGCCACTCGGGGCAGGGACTTCCCAGGTAGGGGAGCAGCCCTGGGGCACTGCGTTAGCTCCAGCCTGAGCCAGCAGTGCTTGAAGTGGTTCAGGTGCTACCTCAGCCTCATGTCCTGCTGCTAACAGTGCTTTTGCATTCTGCCCTGAAGGCACAAAATCCCCTCAGCCCTCTGCCCAGCACACTGCAGAGAAGGTGCGCCGCAACCCCAAGTATGGCAGCCAATACGTGTCCCCGTACTCCTGTGAGTGCCTGTCCCAGGTGTCCCACACACAGTCAGCCCTGCTGTGCACGCTCACCCCGCTGTGTGCTGCCAGGGCTGTGCCCCACACCGTGCTGTTTGTCCTTCTGTGCTGCAGGTGCTGCCATGCGGACAAGGATGGTCTCCTCAGCGGGTCGCTGGCTGGCCTCTGATGGCGGCAGCAGGATGGCAGGTGTATGAGCTGGCTGCGGGTGGTGTGAGTGCACAGCAAGGGGCTTCAGGGATTGGAGGGGTGGGGGCCATGCTGCCCCAGCCTCTCCTTCTCCCTCACAGCCTCTTATCACAGCAGGGTAACACCATATGCCATAAATCTCTCTCCTCTGCTGCCTGGGCTCTGTGTGGTTCCTGAGCATACAGGGCATCCTGGGGGAGGACCTTGCAGAGGTCCTGGTGCAGCCTCTAGGTTGGGGCAGTGCAGGTGGTTCCTGCCCCATTTTAGCCCCAGCCAGGTGTGTGCTGCTCTCCCCACAGCATTTTGAGATGTTTTCCCACAGGGATGCTTCTGGATCATGCTGAGTCCCAGTGAGCTCTCTAACCAGTCCACAGGTCCCTGGTTAGCCCTGGGCTGGAGCATGTCTCCTACAAAGGCAGGCTGAGGAAGCTGGGCTTGTTAATCCTGGGGAAGAGAAGGCTCTGGAGAGACTCACTGCAGCCTTTCAGTATATAAAAGGAGCTTATAAGAATGATGGACTTCTACAGGGCTCTGTAGTGACAAGGAGCAGCAGTTTTAAACTAAAAGAGGGGACATTTAGGTTGGATATAGGAAAGAAATTTGTCACGCAGAGCGCAGTGATGCCCTGACCAGAGTCATGAGTGCCCCATCCTTGGAGATACCCAGGGTTTTGGATGGGGCCCTGGGCAGTCTGAGTTGGTGGGAGGTGTTACTGCCCATGGTGGGGTTGGACTGGATGTTCTTCATGTCCCACCACTGCTGCAAACGAAGTAAAGACACTGGGTTCAAAGCAGAGCGTGTATTGCAAGCAGCTGCGACATGTCCACAGAGACTTGCAGCTGCCAGGAGAAGAAAAGAACAGAGGGGTTAAAAATGATCCCAGTCTGTAGGGTTACACTTTGTCATGCAAACAGCCCCAGGGCAAACCCCATCCCAGGAGGGTGAGGGGATGTTGTGTGGCTCACCCAGGGCTCCGCATCTGCCCCCGGGGCTCTGTGCCTGCCTCAGCTCTGCTCGCCCCCAGCACAGCACGTACAGGGTGCAGGAGCAGCCCTTGCTCTCCTTCTTCTCCTCATGAAGAACCAATATGGGGTATCTGCCCCCCATCCTGCCACATGAGGCCAAAGGAAGGGGGCACTTGGGCAAGGTCTGGCGCAGGGACCGTGAAGAAGGAGCCTCTTCCTCCGTAAGTGTTACTTGCATGCAAATTCCAGTGTCCCAAAGGAGGGGGCTGCACCCTCCCCGAGTCCAGGCAGAGGCTGGCAGCAGTCTGTCCCACGCAGCCTCCCACTGTCCCTGGGGAGCTCTGCTCAGCTCTAGGACAAGTAAAAACTACTTCAAACCAAACCCATGCAAGGCAGCTATTTGCTCATGTGTCTCTGTGGCTGCCAGAACCCCCTGGCAGCAGTTTCTCTCCTCTTTGGGGAGGGGGGGGGAAATATATATATAAATTTATATGTAGGGGTCCCCGCTGCAATCGCTCTCCACCGCAGCCTCATCTCTCTGCCTCCATGGTCACGTTGGCCTTCTGTTCTGCCGTGGCCTGCTGGGAGACGGTGGCGGGCCAGCCCGCGGGCTGCGCTGGGGGGGTTGGAGTCCACATGGTCTGCTGCTGGCCGGGGGGTGAGGCCGTGGGCCAGGCAGGGTTGAAGGCCCCGTGCTGGGGCAGCGGTGGGGCCGGGGGTGGCGGGGATGTCGCCATAGAGGCCACAGGGCTGCTGCTGTTGAAGCTCTCGGAGGCCTTGAGGCGGGAGAACATGGTGAGGGCGTCGGGGAAGTTGGGCGGCGTGGCTGGTGTGTTGGCAGGAGTGCACATCTGTGGAAGGAGAGAGGCGGTCAGCGGGGCTGGGGCTCGTCCCCAGCTTATGGTCTCCATCTTTTGCCTCCCCCTGAGGCAGTGCCCCTCAGCTCTGCTGCACACAAAGCTGCCTGGACCTGATGCACAGCGCTGATCTGTAGGACCTAGCCAGCACAACCCAGCCCCTGGCTTGGGGTAATGTGGGTGTCACGGAGGTAAGAAGGGGAGGCATAGAGGCAGAAAGGGACGAGACATCGTGTCCTGATGATGTCCCACACACGGCAGCTGCCACCAGCCTTGGGACAGCGCTGCCTTGGTCTCTGCTGCAATCTTCTCACTTTATTTTGCGGCTCTACCAATGATGCTCCCTGTCGGTTGCAGATGTTTAAAGCTCTGAAGCTTGATTCTGCATCAAGAGCTCTTGGATGGGACCCTGCCACGTGTGCTCCTGTGCCCAGCTATGCTGGACGCTCCCTCCATACAACCCCTGTCCTGCTGCCGTGTGGCCCTGCAGGCACCAGGCTCAGCTTCTGCCCCAGAGCCCCTTCCCACGGCAGCCCAGCCCCGCCGGGCATTCACTCTGCAAGCTTACTGCATGCTCCAAATCCCCATTTGTCCTGTACAGTCAAATAAGGACACGGCAGCCAGCAAATCCCTAAGATACATCTGCCCAGGCAGATTACAGGTTGCTGAGGCACAAAAGTTAAAGGGGCAGAATCTGAGATTGCTTGGGCAGACAGCACCCATGTGCATGCATGGCCTCATGTGTGCTCATGTCCTTCGTGTCCCCCTGCAGGAACAGGGGTTTGCACACTCAGGTGCTCCAGTGAGAGCACAAGAGCTCATGTGTTTACAAAGTCTATGCGGTCTGGTGCTCCAGAAACCCTTCAGCCTCCTTCTGCTGTGCTGGGACTGCAGGCCATGCCCAAAGCATCCTCTATCAGATCACTCTTGCTTGCGCTGTGGGAGTTGGGAAACAGTGAGCTGGGCTAAGTGATGGCCCCATGTGCCTGCCAGCTGATGCTGTGGACAGGAGGGATGGGAGAGCACTTACCATCTGATGGTGGTGGCTGTAGGGGATGTTTGTTTCTTGGAAAAAAGCACTGAGCGCAGTCTGAAAAGAAAAAAAAAAAAGGAAAAAGCAAAAAAAAGGAAGGAGATGTTAGCAGCAGCATACAAACAGGGCACCTACATCATCCCTGCACACACAGCCTACTTCCAGCTTGGGGTTCACATCGTGTGAGAGCCAAACTGCCCTAACACAAGCTTGGCCACCCAGCCCAGCATCTGTTTCAGTCAGGACAGTGTCCAAGCCTGGCCCTGGGGCTGCACTGCACAAGCACTGCCACCTGCCTCTGGGGCCAGCAGGAGAACAGCCCTGGTGCCCTGGGTCTGCACTCCACGTGCAGCTGCTCCTGTGGTCCCAAGCAATGCTGCGCTCGTGTCTGCTCACAGCAAGGCAGGCAGCCATCCCAGTGCTCAGGTCCATGGCTGTGCACGGAGCAGGGCCCAGCTGCATTCTCACAGCTGTCAGCAATGCCGCAGGAAGGGAGAGGAGGGAAACCAAACCTAACCCCAGCATGAGAAGCACAGTGGGAGCTGCTGAGATGCGCATCATAAATGGGACAGATTGTGGGCACTGCCTTTGTGCCGGGAGCTCCCCAGGGCCATGGGTGGGACTCTGCCCACTGTGTGCACCCAGGCATGCTGAATTCAGCTGCCAGGCAATACGGTACGACCAACATCGTTTTGGTTTGCTTCCAGTTCAGACCAGTAATAATCTGGTGAATGCGTCATGTGCCCGTGGCATGTGACAGGCTTGAGGGCTGCAGGGCGTGGGGCACAGAGGGGTGAGGAGGGCAGGCGCCAGGAGCAGGGCTGGGAAAAGGCAGCGGGGCTGACTGGATGCAGGGTCAACAACAGTGAGGCTGCCCCACATTCTGCACCAGGTGTTAACTGAACTGGGGCTAGGAAGCACAAATCAGTTCCCCTTGTTGATCTGATGGAAAATGGCTCTGGAAAGGCGCAGCTTGTGCTTGCAGCACTGCAAAGCTGGAGACCTGCTGCTGGCCATTTACAGCAGGGTTTATGGCTTCCTGGCTAACCTATCAGCACTACGTGACAGCCAGGGGTTACCTGGTTGCTACGTCCCATGAACAAAACATGAGAATCCAGAGATGGGTGGGGGCAGTGATTGCTGCTCTGGAGCCTGGTAGCTCCAATCTGCAGAGGGGACACACAGCAGTGGGGCTGGCGGGGTGGTTCACAACTGTGCTTCTCTGCCTGGGCTCAACAGCTCTGGGAGCGCCCAGTGCCCCACATGGCACTGCAGAACTCAGTGATGGCTGCAAAGCACGAAGGGGAGATCTGCAGATCAGCCCCAAGAGCTGATGGAACCAGGGCAACTTCCCTGCCACTGTGCTGCCTTCATCCTGGGTTAGCTCCGATGGCACTGCCCTACAGTGTAACACTGCAGACAGAAAGGAACGTGGTAAGAAAGAGAATGCAGTGAACGGGAAGTGCGCGCAGAGGTGGGGGCTAAAGATTGTAGGCTGATTAAATCTGCTGTATGCTCCTGCTCTCCAAGTGGCCTTGTATCTGGGGCTGTGTCACCAGCAGATGGGACAGAGAAGGTCCCTGGTGTCCCCTGAGCCCCCTTTCCTACCCAGAAGCCATCATCCTGGTGGGGGAAGCACACCACAAACAGTCTCTGTGCCCAAACACTGTACCTTCTGCCTCCATCTCCATGTTCCCAGCACTCCGGGCCTCACGTTTCTAGCTCCAAGGGGCAGCTGCCCCCAGAGACCTAGCATCTGTGTGTCCACCAGGTGCCAGGACCAGATGTGTCCAGAACTGTGGGTGCCACCTGGTCTCCAGCCAGTGTCACAAGTGCCAGGAGCAATTGGTGCAATGGCAATTAATGCTCTTGATTGAGCCACTGCAAGGAATCTGTCCTGGGGATGTGAGTGGGGGCAGCTCCAGGGCCTTCAGCCACAAAGGGAAGGGGAAGGGTCTGGATAAGCTTTAAATACATCAGGACAGGAAGTGGAAATCCAACCACAGCCACAGCAGGGCCCAACAACCGCTCCTCCTCTCGCTCCCCTCTCACAACCTCGCTCCCCTGAATACACACTACACTCAGCAGCAGCAGAAAAGCAGAACCGAGCTATTTTTTAAATCTGACGTCTTCTTATTCCTCCCGAGCAGCCCCAGGGGCAATCGGCACATAGCAAAGCCAATTAATATCCTTCTACCTGAGCAAGGAGCCTGAGCCACAGATCAGCCCAGCGTTCTGCAGATGCCCCAGTGGCATCTCGCAGTGAGATGGGAGCAAAGGGACAGCGAGTGGGAGACCCACGCATTGCCTACGGCCCTCCCGACGGGGCCATCACCTCACAGCCTCTTTCTTGCTGTCTGTGAGAGGCAGCAGACCGCCTGGCCTGCCGTTGTGCTCCCGGAGGAGCACTGTGTGACCACAGACAGCACGAGCAGAGGCAGTGGGAATCGGCGCCGATCTCAGAACTCCAGCAATTTGCTCTCACCGCAGATCCGGGCCAGCCAGCAAAAGGGCACCGCACAGAAGAACAAAAGCCTGAGAACATGGCATTCTGGAGGGGAGGCAGCACCTCCCCGGCTGGGCTCCCTGAGCAAGCCGTGCCCAGCGGCCATTTTGCAGAGGGAACGATCTGACCGTTGCACCAAAAGTGAGTGGGAACGTGGTTAATGGCTCCTCGCCTGCGTTTGTTTACAGCCGCGCTTCCTCTGAGTCATGTGAGCTCCAACCGGCAGGAGAGGCTGCGAGCACTTGTGCAACTCGCCCGGCGGTGGCAAAGTTCTGCCAAGAGTCGGCTTTAAGAAAAGCGACTTTTGTCACCCGTCCCTAAGGCTGCGCAGGGCGGGGGGAGCCGATCCTACAGGCAATGGGGGACACCGTTACGCTGTGTTGGTAAACAAAGCCCGGGGCTGTGCTACGGAGCAGGGACGCGGCAGCGTCCGCTCGGCCCCTTACGTCCCGCATGGCTGCGCCAGGGCTGCGCACAGCCGGGCTTTGGTGCCAACATTGGGGAGTCCTGTACGTGCAGGCGATGGGCTGCTGCCCACGGCTGGGCGCAGCTGAGCCACCCGCTCTGCATCCCGCCTCAGACCCGCAACACAAAACAGACGCTTCAATTGGAGAGGTGCCACGAGCGTCAAATCCATCAGCTCCAGCCTAGCGAGCTGCCGGGGCTGCACGGGAAAGGACAAAACCCCGTTTAGAAGGAACGGGCCGCGCCATCGCCGCCGCGTTCCCCGCGCTTTCACCGTGCGGGAGCGAAGCACCGAAGCGCCCACCCGAGACCGCGCCGTGCTGACAGCGCCGCCCGCGTCCCTGATCCCGCAGCGGGGAGGGCCGGGAGCGGTACGCGGAGCGTTCCACGCTCATTCGGGGCCGCCTCCCGGCCCGGGGCTCCGCGCGCGGAGGCCCACGAACGTGCGCTACCGCGGTCCCGCGCGCGGGGGCCGGGCACGATCCACGGCCCCGCCGGCAGCGCGAGTCCTACCCGCGTCCGCGGCGCCGCGCTCCGACTCCGCGCCCACGCGCCGCCCCGACGTGCGCGGGGCTGGGGGAACCCGCGGCCTCCCCGAGCTCCCGGGGCGGCCTCACCTCGAACTGCCAGTGTGCCGCCTGCAGCAGCTGCTTGGCCTGGTCGGCGGCGCAGCCGGCCGCCAGCACGAACTGGTTGATCATCACTTGGTGCTTGAGCTCGTCCATGGCCCCGGCCCGCCGCCCCCCTTCCCTCCCCCCCACCCTCACGGCGCCGCCACCATCGCGGAGCCGGCGCGGCTCACGCCAATGTTTACTGGGCACTGACTCACGGCGCCCGGCCAGCCCCGCCGGCTGCCGCGCGGGGCGGGACGGGCGGGGCGGCCGCGCGGGGGGTGCCGGGAGATGGAGTCCCCGCCCGGCGCTCAGCGGCGGCGAGCCTCCGCCGCTTGGACTCCATCTCCCGGCATGCCCCGCTTTGTTTGCAGAGCGGCGGCGGGCGTCGACGAGAGCTTGAGTGACCCGTACGGACAGCCAACCGCCGCTCGCGGTGTGGTAGTACCTTACCATATATGGTCAACAACACCGCCGTCTCCAATGAACGAGCGGCGGGGGCGGGCCCGGCTGGGGTGGGGCGGGTCACGTGGGCGGGCGAACGGGGTGGGGGGGGGCGCGGCGCGTCTCCGGGCGTGCGGTGTTTACAGTCGGCCGCGTGCGGTTTCCTGTTGACGTGCGGGGAGCGGCCGCGGACGACCGGGAACGGCCCGTGTGCCTCGGGACTTGTGAGGCTGCGCAGGGCCTGCTAGGCTCCCGCCTCGTGGGTTAAAGCCGAGGCCTGGCACGGCAGCGGCGGCAGCGCGGTGCTTCCCGGCTATCCCGCGACCTGTTGTGTCTCTCCCATCCCTGGGGTGCAAACCCCGCTGCGCCTCTCACCCCCCACCCTGTGTTTGGGGGACGTTCTGGAAGCCCTCTCCGCCGTGAAAGGGTGCTTTGAGCGCCATATGGCCGTAGTGGGGGGCGCAGGCGGCGCTGCCCGAGGACAATGGCGCTGCTGAGTACCAGGAGCAATCAGTGTGTGCATGGGGAAGAGGAGCCGATGGAGTGAGATGGGGAGCACTCCTGCTCCTTGGAGCTGAGGAGGGCTGAGGGCCTCCAGGGAACTGCTCCAGGCTGCAGCTCATGTTGCCGTGGTGGGCTTTGCCTTGCTGGGTTGTTCATAGCTAGGCCTGTGCTCTGTGTATGGTTGCTGTTGCGGCTGAGGTGTTGGACCAGAGCAGGGTGGAGCTTGCAGGCTTCAGGCACAAATTGCCTCAGTGTTGCCCAAAGTTGTGTGCCTGGAGCCAGCTGTCCCTCAGTGCCTGTGTGTCCTCCTACAGCCACCGCCCCAACATCAGCAAGGAGCCATCTGTGCAGAGGCGAGCATGTCAGAGAGTGTTGCAGAGGGGAAAGAAGCAGAAGGGCTCTGCAGCCAGCACTGCAATCCTCCTGCAGAGTTACATTAGCTAGAGAACACCGTGCACTTGTGGAGATCTTGCAGCTTCGTTTGTGTAGGGGGAAGGGCTGGCCTGGGTCCAGCAGGGTGTCTGGGGAGGGCTGTGAGCTCTGTGCAGTGTTAGGGAGGCAAAGTTCACAGGCATGCCACTCCTTCTGGCCAGGAATAGCTGTCAGCGCTGTCTCCAAGGCTTTGTTTTACAAGCAACTGAAAAAGAGTAGCAGGGAGGGGGCAGGAGGCAAAGCATTTTGCTCTGCTAGGCCACAGGCTCCATGCAGCTGGTTGGACTTCGGCTGAGCAATAAGCACCAGGCTGCAAGCAAACACACTCCTTAGTTACAGGGCTGCTTGTGACTCCAGGATGCACTGTGAAAGGCAGCAGTGACGTTGTGGGAGGTTGGGTGCTTCCTTGCAGGGCCGTCACGTTCCCAGATTGACGTTCCAGTGCCCGAGGTCCAACCTCAACACCTTTTTGATGGGTGAAGAGGTGGTGCACTGGGTGCTGGTGCTCTGGGACCTGGTGCCCCGGCTCTTGGTGGCAGTGAGCTGAGGACAGAGCTCCCAGCGAAAGGATCTCCCTTGCACACTGCTCCTCCTCGGCCACCCTGCTGGATAGCATCGCTTCACCTCTACATCTCGCCTACAATCACGCACGGCCGGGGTTGCGCCCCGCACACAGCGCGGACAACGGGAAAACAGCGGAGACAGGAAAAACTGCTGCGCGCAGAACACATCTCTGCGCGTGCGCCGCAGCGGCGCCCCCTGCCGGCGCAGTGCCGCGTGCTGAGGGGAGAACGAGGCGGAGGAGGCGGCTCCGCCGCGGGGCCTGACGGGAGTTGTAGTCGCGGGCTCGGAGGACTCGCTGTCCCAGCGTGCCCCGCGCCGCCGCCGCCGCCGTGAGTGCGGGTGCGGGCTGCTCGCCGCCGCGTTGCCGTGCCGCCCCCGGGCCGCTGCCGCCATGGGCTCTCTGCTCAGCCGGCGCATCGCGGGCGTGGAGGATATCGACATCCAGGCCAACTCGGCCTACCGCTACCCGCCCAAGTCCGGTGAGGGTCGTGGCCTCGGGTGGGGAGCGGGGCTTCGCGCGGGGCCCGGCGCTGCTCGGCGTCCCGTCCGGGCCTCCGCCGGGAGCAGCGCGCGGTGTGCGGTCCCGCTCCGGGTGCGGGGCAGACTGGGGCCGCTCCCGCCGCTCTGGAGCTGCTGCCGGCCGTGGGGCATCGGGGGGAACTCGGAGCGGGGGAGCGGTGCGGGACCGCCGTGCCGTCACGGTTCGTGTTTGTGTGCGAAGGGAGAGCTCGGAATACCGGGCTCCGTGCCGGGCTCGGCCCGAGGCTCACCGACGGGCTGGCTGCAGCGGCCGGCCGGCCGGGCTCAGCTTCTGCGGAGTGATCTATTCCTTCCTTTCACAAAAGCAGCCGTCAGGGCGTTCTGATGTCTCTCTCCCTTACTGTTCCCACACGCTGTTCCCGTGGCTCGGGACAGGTGCTGCGCCCGACGGGCTGTCAGGGCTGTGATGGAGCCGGGGTTCCCCTTGGGTTTGTTGTGGCAGATCTGAAGCGGAGGCCTGCCGTCGTTTGTTTGTTGCAGGTTTGCCTTCGGTAGGGATGGGGGTTTTCCTCGAGCCCTTTCCTGGTGCGGCTCCTCGGGAGCTGCCAGGCCTACAGGGAGTGCCAGGCACTCACAGCTAACGCTGGCACTAACAGCACAGCTGGCACCTGTCTGATGCTGACACATGGACAGGATTTTAGATGTTAGATTCCAACTGGATTAATTATTACTGCCGCACACAACGAACCTTCAACTACTTCTTTGAATTCATCACCATTCAGTTTTCTTACTGTTGTAATTAGTTGGATCAGCATTTAAGCTGTGTTGGGCTTCAGCCAATGTACTCATAGACAGAAGTCACAACAGCAGTGCTGTGTTGCTGGGGTCTGCTCCACACTCACTTCCCCAGGAGCAGTGATGCCCCTGATGCTGTCACAGAGCATACCAGTGCAGCCCCTAGTAAACCAAACAGCTGATGCTTTCCAGCAGTTGATTAAAAAACATACTTATTTCCTTAACAGCTTTGGATGCAATTAGGTGCTTGTTAATTGTGGCTGAATTTTCTGTTGTACTTGCTTGTGTTTTTCTGGAAAGCACTCTGGCTGTGGCCTTTCTCCTCATGTTCTTGAGGTTTATCCAGCAAGGCTGTGTTGGCTTCAGGGAGAAGAGCTGTTGGAACTCACACTGATTTATGCAGAACAGATCTGAGCGCTTCTAAGCTATAGTCAGAGGGTTACTGAGAGAGGAGTGGAAGGAGTACTGCCATTGCCATAGCTTGCCTCATTTTAAGGTGATGTGTTCAGGTGGACGCTGTCCCCTGGTCCTGCAGTCCTTGGGCTGGCTGACTTGGGGCTGGCAGGGCTGCTGTCCCTAGCATGAAACCCCACAGCCTGAAGTGGGCATAGATCAGACGTGATTCCATTGAGCTCACTGGAAATGGTTCATAAAGTTCTTAGGCTAAATGATAGCTAATTATTCCCAACTCAACAATATCGCAGCAAGCTCTGTACTGCTTTAAAGGAAAAAGGCAGATTTTCCATCTGATATATTGTGTGTTTGAGTGTCTGCCCTGCAGTGCCAGCCCGACACCCCTGCAGGCTTTTGGCTGCCCACAGGCTAACTGAAATGCAGAAGTGTGGGCAGGGAGTGCTTCCTGAGCTGACTCTACTGCTGGGGCCCTGTGTGGTACTGGGGGTTCTCTGCTGCTTTCTGTGTCCCATCCCTCAGGGTTCAAGCAGCTCCTGACTCGTGGCAGGTGTCTGTGCAGGCTGCTGTGGCTCTGACCAGCTGCTGGCTGGGATTGCTTTGGTGAATGCAGGTTTGCATTCTGGAGCAAGTATGCCACCTGCTATGAAAGCTGTGTTATGCAAGGAGAAAGCCACAGAGTGTGGGCATCCCAGTGGTGATGGAAGCAGCATGTCAGCCTCCCTGTGGAAGGGAGCGGAGCTACTTTACCAGGCAGTACTGAGCATTGGCATCTCACTGAGTCAGGGCTGGGTGCAAATGCTGTGATGAATATTTTCTTTTCCTCTATTGGCTGTTGGGGTGCTCAGTGCTGGGTCAGCCGTGCTCTGTGGAAGATGGAGCTGGCTGTTAGGGAATCCACCTTGGTCCCAATGAACCAAAGTCACTGACAAGGGGCTGGCAGATCATTCAGCAGCCTCCTGCAGCCAGCATGCAACAGGGTAATTAAGAGTCCTCCTCTGAAAGTTCCTTGTGTGGTCCTCTGAGGTTCTGGCTATGGGTTGTCTGCGTTTCCCTTTCTGCATCCAGCCAGGTGCTGTAAGGTGACTCCTAATTTCTGTACGTTGCTTTTCACTGGTACTTTTTAATCTTCCTTGCTTTGTGGAGCCTGCAAGCATTGCTGATGCCTGCCTGGTTGGAAGGGAGTTGGAAGAGCGCCCAGCCTGTAGTGAGGAATCAGTGCCTCCATGCACTGGGCTAAAAGCAGGTAATCACAAGGAGCAGCTCCTGATCCTTGCTGTGCTTCTGTGCTTGGAACAGTAGAACGATCCGTGTCATTGCACACAGCCTCGCCGTTTGCTGCCCCTATCACTTCAGCAACCAGTGAGCAATGCACCAGTGCTTCTGCAGCTCATTTGTCAGCTCATTGCTTGTTCCCCAGAGCTCATCCGCAGTGTGCGGCGGGCAGGGCATGCCCTTGGGATGGCCTTCCTCCCCTTGGAGTAGGTGCTTGCAAGAAAATTGCAGACCTTGGCTTTTTTGGGAGCAAAAAGGAGAGAGATGATGCCTCTGTGAAACCTGCTTTGTTGTTTGGACCCAGTCTGTCACCTTGCTCTTGGCTCGGGAGCCGCGTGCATTGTGACAGTGCTGGGACAGAAGTACTGCAGGTGCAGTCAGTCCCATTGTCCCTGTTATTGTGCTATATTCCTGGAGGCCTTCAGCCCCACCTGCTGCTCCTTCCGTGCCACCTTCTCTGCAGGCACTTGTCTTATGGCTCAGCAGCAGTTTCTTCCTTTGCTGTTCTAATTGCTTTTGTTGATCCGCGTTCTGTTTAGCCCAACTCGGAGCCCTGTTGTGATTTGCCATGTGATGGCTTTTGGTGACCTGGGCACAGAGGTTGGTGAGGCTGATTCAGGTGCTGGCCGAGGAATTAAAGAAAGATCCACTTCTTTCACTTCACCATTAATTCTAATAGTGGCAGGAAGCCTAAATTGTCATCTAACTGCAGTCTCTTCACAAAGGTGCTACAGTACAGCTGTCCCAAGCAATGCCTCTGACCGTCTTGGGATGCTCTGAAAAGCAAGCTGTCTTTGGAAGGTGCTGTGCTCAGTGGTGGTGAGCTTGTGTCCCCTGGGGTGGGATGCTGATGGCAGAGCAGTGAGTGACAAGATGGGATGGACGGGCACTGGCATGGATTGAGAGGCCCAGAAATACAGGCTGTGCTGAGCCGAGCCCCACATCAGTGTGATGCTGGATAATCAGCTGCTGCAATTCTGAAACATCCTGCACAAGCGTTTTCTTCGCAGTTAATCAGATGAAATGCCCCAAAACACAATCCTACTTGACCCACATAAAATGTGAAATTAATTCCTATCCCTCAGCGTTCGTCATGCTTTTCTGAACATCCGTGTAAGCACAAAGCACCGTGGTGTATCTCAGCTGCAGGGACTGCGTCGAGCTGGCTGTGCTTGGAGGTTGTGTGCAGATCAGCATTTTAAGTTCTTGCTTCTAGGGAGGGGTGGGAATAGGTGGTCTGCCAGTTGGAGTACCTGTGTGTCAGTCTGTGGATTCTGAGTAGGTTCTGTGCTGAGGTTGGTTGCTGTAGCTGGAAGGACAGACGTGTTTAATGTAAACATCTGGACGCTTGTAGGCTGAGCTCAGCAACAGTGAGCACTCATCGTTAGAGCACTGCCAGCTGTGCAGAGAAAGAGGTTTTTCTTGAAGCATAAAGGAGGAAAACTTTAATGGAAGAAGCAGAACCGTTCATGAAAGCCCTTCCATTTCAGAGTAAATCATGCTTTTAGCTAGGGGGACTGAAAATCCTTCCATAATGCTCCCATAGCCATTCACGTGAATAGTTACTGCTTCTGCAGCTCATTTTAAAACAAATTCTAGACTGTCTGTGCACCTGGAGAAGGTAATGAGTGTTTGGCTCCAAGTTTAAAAACCCCACTCTAAACTTAAAAGAAGGCAGTTTGAATGGAGCCTTTTAACACCCTCCTGATTCTCAATCCTTGGAAGCTCCGACTCCGTGAAGTTTAGGTGTGAGTGTTCTCTCATAGCCTTTCTAGAAGGAAGCTGCATCTGTGGTGTTCTCACACGTGTACGTGTGGCTGCAGCTTGGGGGCATGGGAAGGAAAGCCAAGTGCCCAGCAGGAGCCCCCGGGGTGTGCAGGGAAGAAGCCTGGTCCTTCTGTGAGCAGGTGTGTGTGGGACAGAGGTTTGCATCCGGAGCTGCCACAAGGAGGAAGGATTCATCAGAATTGAGAAATATTGGGAAGAGCTCTTTCTTTTCTGGAAAACAAGTTAAAATGGGATCATCTCCTCTGTAGTGATTTGCTCCAGGGTGATTTTGTTCTGCGTCTGCTGTTGGCAATGACCTTGTGTAGTACAGGGAAGGAGTGAACAAGCAAGTATTTTCTCTGCTTTGTGCTCGTATGAATTGAGAAATGCGTAGACCAGCTGTTTTCTAGGAAGTATGGATTTAAATTTTTTCATAGAACATCCTGAAGCTGGAAGGGATCCATGAGGATCATCGAGACCAACTCCTTTTATTTCCCTTTTTTTTTTTTTTTCCCTAGGAAACTACTTTGCAAGCCACTTCTTTATGGGAGGCGAGAAGTTTGACACCCCTCACCCTGAGGGATACCTTTTTGGTGAGAACATGGATCTAAACTTCCTTGGGAATAGACCTGTTCAGGCAAGTTCCTATATCCTATCTGTTTTGCACTTCTGTTTCAGGCCCATAAAGCCTCTTCATCAGGTTTCCCAATTGGAACATAGCATCAGTTTTCCCAAATGGAACATGGAAATATTTTGAGGCTCGCAGATGGGAGACTGTGGAAAGCTGCCTGCTCCAGTGCAGAGCCTCTGTTCAAGTAGAAAGTGCAGGTGAAGAACACAAGTAGGAAGGAGGGACTTCAGATGGAAATTCTGCTGGACGTGCAGTGCTGTGCAGGCAGGAGGAGGCCCACCAAATACCCTGTGCCATGTCTGCGTGCAGGGCAGTGATGAAGTGCTGACTGCTTCTCCTTTGCTCTGTGAGCAGCAGCTGCACAGCACTCCAAGGAAAACAGAAGGTGCAGCTGTCAGCTCAATACCCGATGTGCTTACGGCTGCAGGGACTGGTTGTGCAGTCTCAGAGTTGCATTATCTGTGTGTCTCAGCCTGGGTTCCCTTGCAGACATTCTGGCACTGAATTTCATTTCTTCAGAGGGGAGTGGGTGAGAACACTGTTAACACAGTGGGACATTTGCCAAATGGGTTTAAGAGTGGGAGGCTGTCGTGGCCTACAGTTTGCCGATGTAAGGCAATGCCCTTTGGCAGCTCTGATTAATCTTTAAGGAAGAAAAAAACGACTTGAACACGCAGCAGCACCACAGCTCTGTGGAAATCGGCCAGTTTCTCCTTTTGAAATAACTGAGGACTGGATTGCTGTGTGTGCAGCACTGCTACTGACCACAGTGCTGAGCAGTTGGGTCACAAAGAAAGCAGTTGCTGCCTCCATCAAGTCTGTGCTGCCTGTGGCTGTGGATTGGCACCCTCGTGTTGGTCAGAAATGGCATGTTTTCTTTCAGGCTCCGGGTCTTGCCACACCAATGAGCTTCTGTGGCCCAAGGGAACGATGGCACAGGGTTGTGTGTTGGAACTGCCTGAAGCTCGGCGGGAGCAGCAGTAGGCTGCCTGCTTAGCAGATTCCTCATTTCTATGGATACACTCATATTGGTGCTCCCTGATATTCCTCTGAGTTAGTTGTACTCAGTAGCTCAGCATTGCTGCACAGCTCCTCATAGCTGTGTTTGAAGGGCCACAACTTTGATGTGGCTGTGAGGTGGCACTGCTGCTCATTACATTCCCTGTAACTGTCAGCCTGAGAGCCTGTCTGGTAGCTCTGTATCTCTGTGTCACAGTGTTGCTCTGATGCAGTGTGATTGCATTGCCAGTCTGAGCACCTACAGATCTTGCAGACATTTCAGCCTGACTGCTCTGCAACAGCAGATCTGCCAACAGCAAGGGCTACAGGCCCCACACTGAGCAGTTCTCTCCACATTGCTTTGTGGAGGTTCTTTGACCAGTGTAGAAAACTAGTCTGCATCACCAACCTTCTGCATTTAAAGGGCAGTCTGTGAGAGAAGATCTCTGCATTGTGGAAATGAATGAGGACCCCTATTCCCATCTCTTTTTTTTTTCTCTCCCTTCCCCCAAACATTTGCCTCATTGTTTCAGAACGAAAGAATTTCCCCCAGTAATCCAGAGCTTCTGCATGCTGATTATCAGTCAGTCACTGCACTCTGTAATACGTGTGAAAAGGCAGCATTTCTTCTGCTCAAGCTGGAGGTAATAATTTCTGTACTGAAAATAAAATCTTGTGAGAGCGAGGCTTTCTAGACTGCAGTTCTGGAGTGCAGAAGAAAAGCTTGTGAGAGTGCCCTTGTTAAGGGACATCCGCTGGTGTGCTTTCAGTGCAGAATTTTCACTCTGAAATGTGCTTGGTTTATCTGTAAATACAATTGTCTGTCACTGTTCTTTGGAGATAGATGAATGTTTCTTGATTTGGGTAAATAGTTTGTCAGGTAACGTACTGTTACCTTAGGTAATAATAAGATGCCAATCATTTGCTTTTGTATTTCAGTTCCCATATGTGACCCCAGCTCCCCATGAGCCCGTGAAGACACTGAGAAGCTTGGTGAATATCCGCAAGGACTCTCTCCGCCTCGTGAGGTACCGCTACTGCCTGAACTCATTTCATTCAGCCCGGGGATCCGGAGCATCTGGAGCCAAACTGCCAGTTCCATACGGTTTAGGGGAACAGCTGAATCCCAGATCTCTGTTGGTAGATGTATTCCGAAGGTTCTGGGTACCGCTGTGATCAGAGTTTTCAGGCAGTTCACGTGCTTCTTCATCCCTGGACTTTAGCAATCTGTGTTTTCAGAGAGGACCAGTATGTGTCTGTACAAAGAGAACAGAGTGGTAAACAAAGCCTTGAATTTTGCCTGCTATTGCTAGCACAAATGGAACATATTAGTTGGGTCAATAAACCCTTCAGACAGATTCCTTTCTGCATTCTTGTGTAAGGAAAAGCCAGAAAGTAGTTGCTCCTGGTGCAAGTCACTGGCAGGGAGCACTAATTGGTTTTGAGTGAAACTTCCTCGGCTTCCTCCTGCTGCCAAGACAAAGTTTGGTCCTGGTGTTATGTACTGATGTAAATGGCTTCTGTCCCATGAGTAGGGAAAGGAGTTCTGGATAGTCTTGAGATCTGTTACCTTTCACTGCTTTACACTGAGATCTAAGGCCACGCTAACAAAAATGTGACTTCTGGACTAGATGCCACTTTGATTTGAATTAACACTTTGATTTGAGGCTGCCCTCTTCCACACAGATGGCTGAAGAGCAGAGACCCAGCACACAGTGCTTTGTTTTGGTCTGAGCACTTGGGCAGATGTCCAGGATAAGCATTTCCCAGAGATGCTCGAGCCTCTGAATTCTGTGTTACTGACATGGGGTTGGAGTGCTGGCAGGGGGCCTTGTTCAGCTCTCAGCCAAGGTGATTCTGAGAGCGTGGTGTAATGTGAGTCAGTTGAGTCATAACCATGCAAAACCTCCAGTTTGTTTTTATCTGAAAACTGATGTTGTTTGTTAATAAATGAGCGATACTTGTTGTTTTAAAATCAGTTGAACAGCGAAAGAGAGAACTTCTGAAGAAGTAACCGTTGGCAAACTGTTTTGAATGCTGTCCAGCTTCTTCAGCTAAGGGCTGTGAAGTTCTTTTCTGGAACAAAGTCTCACATTCTTCCCAGACTTGCTGTGGAAAGGGCATTTCATTCTTCTTTCAAACATCCACAGTTCAACAGAGGAGTTGTTGCAGGAGTTTAGTTTAGTTCGTACAGTTCTATCATTTTGTTTTCTGGGATTTCATGGCCTTGCCAAGCTGAGTTGCAGCTCTGGACTATTTGAGATGTGGTATCTATGTACCTTGGCATTATCTTAGTTTTGTGTCCCTGTAATTCCCAGTTCTTTCAGTTCTTGGCCTCATGAACTCTCACAGGCTCTCGTACTGCTGTGTTGCAGCTGACGACAGCACCACTAATACTATTCTATTTTATTTTATACCAATGTAGACCCCAAATGGGATTTTAATTGCCAGTCCTTAAGGGCATGTTCTTTCTTGTGCTTTTCAACTGTTCTGTACTGCAGGCTTTTCATTTCTTCCTGTGTACACATAAAGGCACTTGCTGCCCCCTCCAGCTTAGTTCATTGGCAGTTGATGGTTAAGGCTTGGAGATTCTTCCCAGAAGTAAAGAAGATACCATTGAACTGAGTGTCTAGGTACGAAGTAGGCTCTGATGATAATAATGGATCCTCATGGTCCATTTATTTTCTGCTTGTTATTTTTAACGGAAAATTCGTTTCTTTCCTCTGGAAAGAGTATTGATTCATAATTTGGAATGTAGAGCTGAATGGAAGAAGGTGAAGAAATGTTCACCCTGGGTTTCCTGCCTTGCTGTCACCAGACAAAGTTCTGAGCTTTGTTGAATCCTAAGTATATCCTGCAGCTTTGGAGAGAAGCAACAGACCTCTGGATGTTGATGTTGGAGTTGTGAGTCTTTGATGCCTGTGTGAGTGCTTAATTTCTAACAGGATGAAGCTCTGCAGGCCTCAGAGGAGAGCAGCATGAATTTTGCTGTTAAGCGTTGACAGAAGAAAGAGGTTTTGTGTCTGTCTTGTTGGCCTTCTTGGCCCTGGCTTGAGAGCTGCCTTTCAGAGCTGAAGCACCTGATGGGCAGGACCAGGCTGCTTGCTCATACCTTGAAAGCACTTCCTGCTGCAGGAGGAAGGTCAGCTTATGAGGCAGTGTTTCACTGAGCAGGAGCCCCCTGGCTCAGCCACGCTTCTTCAGTGTGGGCTTTGGATTTTGAGTAGAGCATCGTGGAACAGAAATGTGAATACTGATAGAGATGGCAGCCAGTTCTTCGTTTGGTGACTGCCTCAACACTGACTTAATGCAGTTATGAGTGAACGTCGTGCTACAAACTCACACGCTACTTAACATTTATAATGCATGTCTATTGAGTTGTTCAAAACCTTTAATTTCCTCAAAGGATGAAATCGAGCTCGACCTGACCCATTTCTGTAACATGCTGCTGTTAATTATATTTTTATCTTTTAATTCTTTAACAGACAAGCAAAAAGTTCCAGCACTTCCGCTGTTTTATCCAGAAGGGATGTCAGACTAAGTGGCCTCAGCTCCCTTGGTCAGCCTGCTTTGGCTTTTACATCATAGCATTGGATCAGCTGTTTGTTCTCGAGGTGGTCGGTCTGTTCTGCCCTGTAGGTGTGATTGCTAAGCTATGTCATTAACTTGTGTGCATGACCAAAAGGCACACTAACAAAGTCACTGGTTTCTAGATTAATGCACGCATCTGAGGCCGCCTCACAATCAGCACTGTCTGTAGGGTTTGACTGAAATGTACACTGTAAACTTCAAGTTCAGATGGAGACAGAAAGGCCCTTGAAACTCCTGAACCACCTCCTTGTATGCCACATTTGTTGCAAAGATGGGAGGAATACAAAATGTGTGGCTTTGTCTTGCTGATCCCCTGAAGTTTACATCCTGCACCATAAGGTGGAACATGAAATGTCCCTGCCTCTCAAGGTATGCACTGTGGTAGTCCTTCCTTGTCCCCTGATTCAGCTGCTGGCTGGCAGAGCTGCAACCTTTTCTCACATGAACTCCTTGTTATGTGGCCAATGTTTTCATTAATCTCCAGCACCAATATGTTATCATAAGAGATGTGCAGGCAGCCTTACTGAGGCTGCTGCTGTTCAGAATGTGTGCTTTGCCCCTTGTTCCAGTGATGCTACTGCAGGCAGACAGGGCTCTGACTCTACTACTCTGCAGCAGTGCCCTCTCCAGAAGCCTGCCCACCAGGCACTAGGTTGCAGTAAGTAGGTTATCCAGAGTGTCAGATCAATTCCAGTCCAGATTTCACCCTTTACTACTTACTGGTGTGGGAATGTGTTCTGAATGCTGGTAGGGAGCTGCAGGAGTGAACCTGGGAGCAGGAAGGTGATATGGGAATTCGGATGCTCAAAATGATTTCCCTGAGAAGACAAAACAGAGAATGGTTTTACTGTCGACGTGTTGCTCTTGTGGGATCCACCCTCCTGCAGGTCTCCCACTTTGTTACTTGGGGCTATTCTGGGTATCTAGGCTTGTGTTGCTTATCAGCAGCTGTGCCTGCCAACCTCTGTGCAGTGAGATGAGGTGAGCTAGCTAACCACCATCAGTGCCTGCATGAAACAAGTGCTGACTTTCCCCAACGCTGCTTCTTCTGGAGGACTGGCAGGTGCATGTTAGCCTGGAGATCTTGCTCCTCTTGACCTTTGCTGCCTACTTTAGATCAGCAAAGGACCACAGAGCAAGAGCTAATTTTCAGCTTGTGTTGCTGCTTTCTCTGGACACGCACAACACTTGCAAGTGGATTAGTGGATTGTTGCTTTCAGTCTTCTCACGTTGCTCCAGCACAAAATAGTGAAGCTACAATCATATTTTCTATGGCTAGAATGCTTCCTGTGCACAGCCTTGAAGTGCCATGATTTTATTCTTTGAATGTCACCTGCTTGTGTGAAAGTGCTGATGCAATACTCGTGTACAGCAGAATACTCATTCTGTTACTGGTTATTGTCTGCTGGCTGCTGCAGATGTTTAGTCTGCCCATTCCTGGGTTTTGTTTTTTTTTGTACTAGCAGTTTGGATGTATTCTAACTTGATTTACTCCTCCCACCTGAGTGAACCCTCTGGCAAAGGTCTTGTTTTGAGTCTTTCCGACAGAAATGCAAGTGTATGCAGTACTTATCACAGAACTGTAGGAGTTGGAAGGGACTTCTGGAGATCCTCTAGCCCAACCCCTCCTGCTGAAGCAGGTTCCCAAGAGATTTGGTGAGGTCACATTAGTACAAGTGTGCATGTTTGGTATTTGATTGTACTGCTCTTAAATTTTATTTTGTGCCTTCTTTAATTGGCTGAAGCAGAACATTTCATTCTTGTTTAGTGTGTTAAGTAAAATTCATACCAGAATTCTTAATTAGGCAGCAGTTATTACGTCTCGGTGAACTTGGTAAATATGAATTCCCCTGACAATTTTCAGATTGAATGATGGAGGTGTGCCCAGCCTATTTCAGAGTGTTTTCAGCAGTGCAGCGTGTTTGTGGAGGCTGTTTAACGAGGGGAGAGGCCAATTAATACTGTGAACTTAGAGATGGTGCCAAGCTTTTCCTGAATAGTTCAGCTGCCTGGCTCTGACCCAGGCATCCTGGCAATTAAGCTGATAGCGACAGGCAGTGAGGCTGGGACTGGGCAGCAGAGCAGTATTGTGGTATGCTGCTCAAAGCTGACCTGCTGCATTCACCATTACCACATAATACAGAACAAACTGTTGGACCTGAAGTTGTAGAATTACAGTGGGGTTTGAATTAACGAATGAGAATCTGCTGTTCTGCCAGCAAGTCGTGTCCTTTCTGTCATTTGGTGCTTAAGGACAAGGGGAGCTTTTCTCATGGTATGTTGCATTTGTTCCAGAACCTGCTGGTTTTCCTGGCCGTTGGCACACTTCAACTCACAGCTCATCCACATCTGTACCGTGCTGCCCTGCAGCCTGCCTGCTTCATACCAGCTTTTCCACTGGATTTGTTGCCTGTGTTTTTAGCAGGAAGGAGGAGTAACATTCTGTTGTGGTGATCAGCCGTCACACAGTGGGATCCAGCTGTCCAGTAGCCCAAATCCAAGTTATTGCTCCCTTTTATGGTCACTAAAATACACATTCTTGAACAGGTTATCCTGTATTTGATGCAACTGAATGTGTTAATTTTTGTTCATGTAACAAATGTATATACCTCTCAGTCATGAAGAATGTTTCTTCTCCTGAAGTTCGATGCTCAATAGTTGACCTTCTTGGCTCTTTCCACGGCTGTAAGACTGGATGAGATTTCTCAACATCATTGTTATGTAATTCACTTCAATAACTTCAGAAAAATCTTGGAAGAACCTTCCTCAGAGGAAAGAACAGAATTTTCCTGGGCATTATGGAAGCCCGTGATGACTTTTCTGCCCAGAGCACTTACATTGGAGTACTCTTATTCTGATTTCCAGAGTGAACTCGATGGCTATGAAATACCTCATAAATGTGTTCTAATCCTCGGCATTCTTTTGCAGGTATAAGGATGATGTGGACAGTCCTACTGAGGAGAATGGGAAGCAGAAAGTCCTGTACAGCCTGGAGTTCACTTTTGATGCAGATGCTCGTGTTGCCATCACAATCTACTGCCAGGCTACGGAGGAGTTTGTTGGTGGCATGGCCGTGTAAGTCTTGGTCTTGTGGGCACTTGGAGGGGTACAGAACCTCTCAGGTGAGGAGCCTGACAAACATCTTTCCTTTCTTGCCTGTGAAGCAGTGCTGCTGCAGATGATGGAAAGTGGATTCTCTTTCTGTTTTATGTACTCTGATAGCTTTGAATATTGCTTTCACTTCCTTCCCCCGCAAAACCAATTTCCTCTCTTGTTCCCACATTGGTTTGTCTTTTGGATGTGGGGAAACCATTTTGTGTGCAACAAAGGAGAGGAACTCACAGCTGTGTGCTTTTTCAGCAAGATGATTTACAACATTTCAAAAGCAAATACCCTCCTCTTCAAATACGATCTGTTTTTCCAGATCACACCACTGGATAGATTTTTCTGTTCCCTGGGGTGGGAGCATCTGGGCCACCAAAGAGAAGTTCAGCTTGATGAGTACATGTGAGTCCGTGAGGAACTGAAACCTATCCAAAGTCCCATCTGGGGGTAAATGACTACCTCAAAACAGGGTATTGTAAAATGGCTGTCAGGAACATTTTCTGCCCAGAAACCCTGCCTGTATGTTTTCTGTCAGGTACAGACTAACCTTTGGCTCGCTGTAAAAAGAGTGGTCAGGGTGTGATCTGTGGAATCTTCCTCACATGTTTCGCTGTAGTAATGTATCTGTGCAGATTTCAAAGCCTTTTTATCTAAGTGAGCACATTTAAACCATTCCAATCAACACTGTGTGCCTGTCCTCTAAGATTACAAAAATTTCCTCTCTTCACTGAGGGCTGTGGTGGCTGAAACTTGCTCTTCCTTGTGTGCACTGGGCACACTTGAGCTGCTGGTACATGACTGCAGACTTCAGTAAGCATGGAACAAAAAGTTCTTCTTGTTCTATGGGTAAAGGCTGCAAAAGCTCTTGGCTTTTTCTAGTAGAGGCTTTTGGCTGATCAGGAGCTCTGTGCACATAGTGCTGATGGCTTCTGCTGTTGTGCTCTTGATTTGGGGGTAAAGTCGTGGCTTATTTAAGTGATGCTTATTTAAGTGAAGCTTATTTATTTAACCTGTGGAGGTTTCAGCTGGGAGAAATACGTGTAACAAACCATAAAGTGGCTCATGTGCTTTATACAAAGTATAAACATCTCAGTGATGCTCAGAATAAGGTGGCTTTAGAAATGAGACACCTTCAGTGCTCCCATCCAGATGTGCTTTCTTCCAAACTGGAGGATGCCCTGGTCCAGGATTTTGTTAGGCCCCTCTTTTCTGTTGAAGATTGTGACTGCTTAGTTAATTAAGTTAATTAAGTTAATTAATTGGATCCTTTTAAGTGATTGAAAAATCCCTCCTGACAAACTCAGAAAATCCCTCCAGCTCTGAGAAACTGAATCTAAATAGAATGCAGCAGGATGCCTTAGAAATCCTGATGAAGTTTCCATGTTCTGTCTCTTAGGTCCTTAGGTTTCCTGTGAATTTAGTGCTAGTCAAGTGCTGGAATGGCAACCTTGGAGATTGAAGTCCTCTTTTCCTAATACAGGTACAGCGTGGACAGGCAGCTGGTTTCCCTTGTGCTGCCTTGCAGAGCATTCCGTGGTTTTCATCCCAAGAGGGAAACTGTTATGGGCTAATGGGGAGAGCTGAAGGCCTCCGTGGCCAGGGTGGATTTGCTATTGTAGCTGCTGCATAGAACTTATTGTTTCTGGACTCTGTGCATTTCTGTAACTAGGAACTCTGTCCTCTCAAAACTCTGCCCATTGATTGGAGGTGGAAAACACAGTTTCTGGTTCACTTAAAAGGATGCTATTTTACTGAAATTTCATACCAATTAAGCCATTGGCTTCCTCTTGGTCTGCCATCTGTTTTTTAAAGCTTATGCCACAAACATGAATTACCTAATTGCTTTTTAAATTGAATTCCTAGGTACAGTTTATGAAAGGTAACATAACTGTCAACTTCAGATTAAAAAATATATTTTTAAATACCAAGTTTTTAATCCACCCTGTCCATGTTCACCAAAAGATGGATCTCTGCTCAGGTGATGAAGGAGAACCTTCCCTGCCTCTGCATGAAACCAGGATCTGTGGTCAGTGCTCATTTCCTTGCCACATGTGGCTGATGTGACTGAGTTGCCCTAAGGGATGCAAGCAGTTCCCAGAGCACTAACCCTTCATGCTGAAAGTCAAAGCACTTGGATCCAGCTCTTGCTTCCACTGCTGTCCTTTTATTTAATAAATCATAGTTTAATTTCCTCATAGCATCGAATTGATGAACTGTCTATTTCTGCTCTGGAGTTCTTGCACAATAAATGTTATAGAAAAATGGGGTGTGGGGTGCTGCACTAGAAGCCAGTAAACTTTTTGAAGGCATGATCCTGATTTCATGCAGATGTGTAGGTAGTAGGGGCTGGGGGAAGTGAGATACAAATATAGACTTTATAAGCTGCTTTAATTCAACCCAGGCAGTTTTTCCATGTGGAAGTGGCTCATGAAGCACATCTTGGGGCTAGTGCAGCTGCCCAAATTGGGCATCTCTGCTTCTCTGGATTTGCTGGCTGCTAGTAAAAACCTTTTGAAGCTCTGATTTCAGCTTTGCAAAGCAGTTCTGAAAGGACAGTGCTATAATTACTTTGATTTATTATTTTCAAGTTCTAGTGGGGAAAAAGCTGTAAGTAGAGTAAACTGTAAGAGTGCCTTTTTAGTGCACTAGCAGGAATGCAGCTTTGCTCCACTCCACGTGAGGTGGTACTTTTCTCTTTTTCTCAATTTCTCTTGGTGCTGACACCTGCATTTAAGTAACAAATGTGTGCAAGAGTTGCCCTGCACTGTGTGTAAATCCAAACTGCATTTCTTGCTGTCCAGCACTCGATTGGGAAGAAGACTGCTTTGTTATAAAGGCACTTTTTTTTTCTTCCACTTTTCTAAATTGATGCTAATTCCTAAAATGGGAGAAACTTTCTGGACCATTTTCTAAAGCAGAAATTTCCTCCTAGTCCTTGGGCTGCAGCATGGCTCCTTAGAAGTGCTAGGCAAGTTATTCTTGCTTCTTTGCTGGAGGAACTGCTGAACCTGATAGCATCCAAACCTGATAGCATCAGTGCTTCTGCTGCTGTGAAACTGCAGCTGGGAACATCATTATGTTCATGCAGTTTGGAGTGGGAGGATGGAGGGGATGAGACTCTCAGTGAGATGAGGCATTGCTTGTTGTCAAGCTTCTGCTCACCTTTGCCTGTGGTCTGTGGGCCTGGCTTTATGAATAGCCAGTCTCTGTGACAAGAGGGAAGCGTTTCTGCAATCCAGGAGTCTTCCTCCTACAACTGCTTGGGCTCCATCTAAAAGCTGCAGGCTTCATCAGCCTATGCTGCCTGTACTGACCTGCCTTAGAGAGTGTTCAGCACACTCCCAGGTACTGATGCTGGGAGATGTGTTCAGCTGTACTGCTTCCCAGCCAAGATCTTGGCAACACATCTCCCAACCACTATCTGCCTCTTGTCCTGAGCTACTGAGCTCTGAATTTCACAGCAAGCCGTTGTTACCGTGATGGGGTTGTAGCTGACCAATAAAGTGTGAAGATGGCGTATGTATGCATCTGGGGAAAGGTATCCAGTACTTTCTGTTGCTAGTGCAGATACAGTAGCAGCCCCTTGAACAACGTGGGTATTGGTTTAAATCTGGAGGGCACCACTGCTCTGACTAACTGAGTATCTCTTGTCCAGGTAGAGTGTGCTTAAAGAATCTGTAGGTGAAAGCATGTTAGCTCTTGGTGGAGCAGCTGGTGAATGACCCAGAGCATAACAGAGGCCAGAGCTATCTATGTCTGGAGCCTTTTTAACAGCATGGAATTAATGGCAACCTGCTTCTGAACAGTTCGGTGTCCATGTCATCCTCTGTTTTATGTATTGTTGTGGTTGTGTCCATTTTCTTTGATTTTGAGAAACTGCCCTGACGGGACATTTGGTTGGAGGAAGAGCAGGGGGTGTTGGGTCAGGAGGATATTTTAGAGACTGGGGATTAGGGAGCAGTTGGGTTTGTCCTGCTTGGCAAATTGTGGAGCACAGCGATTAAGGGCAGGCCAGAGAGGAGGTGTGCAGGGGATGACTGGGATGGGACCTGGCTGAAAGGGATGAGAATCCCTGCCTTAGCAGAGGGAGGCACAAGCACACAGATGTGTGAGCTGCATCAGCTACTTGCTAGCGATCACCCGTAAGTCTGTGCTGTCCCTCAGAGAAATGATAAGATAGTCTGTATTGCTTGCAGTGCAAACAGTTCATAGAGAATACTTGAAGGACTTCCAGTTTATAGCCAGCTTTTTTCTGCAGTGAATGGTTTGTGTGTTTGTACCCTCAGATTTATTGTAGGAGACAAATATGCTTTCGGGAGCAGGTAAAAGAGATGCACATATTCTCTTTTTGTGTGCTCAGTGAATCTATCCTTTCCTTTTCTGGCACAGCCTTGATATGCACATATTAGGTTCCTGGGAGGGCCCCCAGGACTTTTCCAGCTGTGAGTATCTTGCTGACTAGCAGGAAGGGTTGTGCAGTTATAACATGGCAGCAGTGGATGTTTCCTCAGGGGAGGGAGTCAGACCAGCTGGAAGCACTTAAGGCAGCCAGCTCTCAGGGCAGGAGCAATGTGCACAGATCATGAGCTGCTGATAAATGTGACATGAGAGATGTGAGTTTTTGCAGTCCTTTCTTATGACAAAGACCTTCCTCTTTGGACAGAGATGGTACTCTTTCTTGTCCTAGTAATGTTGCCAGTGCTATGTTTCTTTATTATAAGGAGAAAACAATGAAAACATACCAGTTAGCTCTGCTAGTCTTCACCCTTCTTCAGGATTATGCTGTTTGTGCTGCTGATGCACAAATGGGTGTGCTGGAATTTTTTTGGTCTAATTTCCTCGCTTGTTTTGCAATGTCTGCTACAGGTTACATTCTACCGCTGTCTTCCAAACTGAAGTGGATGTGACACTGCAGTACATGATGTGTTTTGTCTGCATGTGGAGATGTGAATAGGTAGCTCACCAAATGCAATCCAACTGAAATGTGTAGCTCAGCGCATGGCCGTTTTCACTGAAGCTTGTGAAGGAGGGACAGCAGCACTCATTCCTTTGTTTAATCAGTAGCCTCTGTCTGTCTGTTCAGAGCCTTTGAAAGGTGCTCATGCTGCTTTTGGCTGTGGACTGTGGTGATTAATATGAATTCTTTGCACAGAGAAGATTTCTTCAATGTGAAGAAATCAGAGGCAGAGTTTTTTTCTGCTAGGCACAAGCCTTAACAGCCAAAGCCTGCTTTGATCTATGCAGGCACCAGACCCCAAGGGACTGTAGTGTACAAAGTTCACGTGCTGAAAAGCTAAATTGTGTAGATTTCATTGAACAGACAAGCCCTCTGTCTTTAATAAGGGTTCTGGCCTTTGTGCCTTTCTCTGTTGCTGTGCTGTAAGTTGCCATCTTTGAAGCCTGGCTAGAGTCAGGAGTGCAGCTCTCCCTGCGATGAGCTCAAGTGAGATGGCTGCAGGTGCTGGAACAGGATCTGGATCGCAGGGTTTCACTGCATGGTGAGGTGTTTGTTTCTTCCTGGCCTGGCTTGGAAACCAAATCTTGTGAGGAGGCAGAGGAAGAGGAGAATAGTGTGTGTGGCAGTGACTGCAGTGCACCAACTGAGCACCCACAACTTCTAGACTGTGTAGGAGTTTCTTGGTGCTGGATCTTGCCTAACTCTGGCTGTGAACCAGTGCTAGAGCCTTCTTACATTTTGTTAGTGTTTCTTTTATCAATAAAAAATCACTTTGAGTTATTGGGGACACTTGCTCAACTTCCCTCTTCCCCAGAAGCTGACTTTTTCAGATCCTGTCCAAAGATAAAATGGAAATATGCAGATAGAAGGGAGAGGGAACAATGTACTTGCTCCACATCAACTCCTGGCCCCTCTGAACACCAGCAGAATGTGACTGGCTCCTTCACCGAGGATGCGGAACTTGCCAGGCAGCTGCACGCTGCAGTAGCAGGAGAGCTGGCTCCTGAGTACCTTCTAGAGCTGGGACTGGTGCCCTGCTGTAAACTTCCCCAGGCACTGACCTGGGGAGGAGTGAGAGGGAAACTCCCCTGCATGCTCATCTTGCTTCTCTAATGAGTGTGCAGCAACAGCAACTTCACTTAGCTTAGCCAGGGGTTCCCAAACATCATCTTGCCCCTTGTGCTTTGGGAGCTAATTAAGGTCTACAGGTGCCCAGTAGCAAATCTTGTCTGTTTGAGCCGTGGACTGAGCAGCTGCATGCAGGTAGGGAGTGCTTCTCAGCTGAGGGCAGGGAGTGAGATTTGGGGAATAATTTCAGTTAGTTTCTTGGATTCCTTATATTCTTCAATAAGTACTGTCTGTGTCAGGCATCCAGGCCGTCTCTGACCTTCACTCTCTCCTCTGCACTTCAGTTGCAGTAGGTTCCTCTCTTGTTGTCACCTTAGATAAGTCAATCCCCTCCTTCCCAGTTGCACAGGGAGAATTGTGCCTCTCTGCATAGCTGGGAAGCTCTGAGAGATCCACAAAAGGAGCTAGGTAAAGGCATACTCTATTCATTGCGCCTGACAACTCAGTAAATAAAACTTCACTCAATTGCTCTCCCTGTAATTCACATACAAAAGATCTGTCATCCTAATCTCTCCCACACCGTGCTTTAAATGCAGAGGATGGGGTCAGAGCTTCCAGTAAAGCAGCACTATTGTAAAGCAGTTCAGAAAAGTCTTTGAGGGTAATGTATTATCAATGCATCTACCTTGGCAAGAAGAGCAGAGAGCACATGATGGTCCTGATCTTCATCGTGGCCTTTCAGATTTTAATGCTGATCTTGTGGCAAGCCTTGAAGACCATCTCCTCATGGATCCTCAGAGGTTGCTGGAACTACACCAGTTTTCCAGGGAAAGGCAGATTATGCCAATGGAGAACCTATTTTTTTTTCTCTTGGTTTGAGAGGAATTAAGTATCCATCATCATCTGGTATCCAGGTTTTTACTGCCCAGCTGCAAAATGCATCCTAATAATTGTGCTTTAAATCTCTGTGTTGGCTAATGAGCCTTGGAGGGCAGGCAGCATCCCTGTGAGCTGTATGCACTGACATCAGGATGGGAGGCCTAGAACAGGCTGTGTGGGTGCTGGGAGCCTGGCTCAACCCAGCCTCCTGCACAGGCAGGTGTCTTTGGGCTCTGCATCAGCTGGGGCTGGAAATGTGCCCTGCCTTCCCCTTCTGCTTGGACAGGGGAATGCAGTGGTAGGGTTGCTAAAAGTGTGTTTAAAAAGTCACCAAGTACTCCTTGCCACAGAGGTGTTGCTAGGGAGATTGAGGAAATTAAGCTCCAAAAGCAAGATAGAAGATACGTGTTAAATAGTTATGGAAAGTAAAGCAAGAGAATTAATTCAGCTTCTGGTAGGAAGCAGAGCAGCTATTACTGCTCCTCGTCCTCCAGCCAGTGCTGACTGTGGTGTCTTATCTGTTACAAAGTCTGTGCACATGCATCGATCCCATTTCATCATCCAGGTTCGTTAGTGTAAAATGGCTTCTTGTACGATATTAAGGCTCAGATGTGTCTTCACTAATCACCTCTGCCATCCTGCAGCCCAGTCTTTTCTATGAGATGTGAAGTCTCAGGTGTGCACATCACACACAGTCATCAGATGTGATGCTCAGTTCTGCAGTTATTGGCTGACTGTGCAACTTGAGCTTTTCCCACATTTCCTTCACCACCTCTGGAGGTGAGCTCCCTGAGCCCTCCTGCTCCCTGCTCAGAGAAGCCAGAAGGCATTATGCCTGATGTAGAAGAGCTTTGCATTGCCATCCTCCTCTGATGTGCTGTGCTCCTACACAAAGTCTACTTAGGCTGATACTAATTGGAGCTTTCCAACTTCTGCTTATGCAGCTGGTGGTTTGTAAACTGTGTCTGCATTTTAGAATGGCTGAATGTCCTCCAGAGTACAGAATCGTTTTACAAGCAAGGATGGTCTTTTCTGTGCTTCTGTGCATGCTCTGTTAACTGCTTTACCTGATGGCACTCCGTACTGATTTGGTCCACAGCAAAGCGATGCCTTTGGATCTTCTGGTGTTGTGCTGTTCACAAGGCTGGCAACAGCACTGTTCACCTTATCATTTGAGAGTTGTTATCAGCAAAATATGCCATGCTGATTGGCAGGGAATACTTTGTGATATCCCAGCTTGAATTAAGGAAAAACTCAACCTAGAGCTCTTGGTTCTAATGTGACACTTGTCCCAGGCTGTCTGGTCAATCATGGCCAGTGGCGGTTAAGTTTGAGCAGTCACCAGAGCTTCTGACTGCTCAGAGGTCTTTGCAGTGGCTGGAGGACAGTGTTCTCCCAACTCTCACTTTATGAAGCTCTGCCCTGGAACTCAGAATTAGTGTAGGAGAGACATCATCCTGTTATTGTGATGGGTCAACATCTTCCTTGTAGAGCTGGAGTTAGACCTGTCTGTCACTGGGCCTGTGGAGGTCTGTTGTTTCTGCAGTGTAGGCCTGTTGGGCGAGGGATCTTCCTCTCTGTTTTCTCAACATGCTCTGAACACAGTGTTAGTAGCTCAACAGCACAAAGGCTGTGGTAGTAAAACCAGCTTTGGTTGTTCCCACCCTGCTTTATAGTCCACTGCCTGCTCCTTTGTGCCAGAGCTGGCATGGTTCAGAGATCACGTGGCAGAAAGGGGCATAAAACCCTGTTTTGCCACTGCAGCCCCTTGTAAGTTGTGCTCTATGTAGTGAAATGTATTTTGGGGGGCAGACAGTGCTGGGGGTTCTGGATGCAGGAGATGCTGGTTGTTAGCTCTGGTTCCCTTCCCAGAGGCATTTGGCCCAGCCTGGCAGTGCTGGGACTTGGTTGCATTTCACTGATGGCCCTTGGGTAAGTGGGAGAGTTGTGACTTCTCTGGGAGGCTGGCATAGAGGACTGCTTGGTGGTTCTGTAGTGCTGTTGGTGCTGTGGTACCTCTGGGGAAGCATATGAAGAGTAGAGAGCTGGGGAATTGGTCTGAATGGACCTTGCTTTCCAGAATGGCCCTATGCCATGTAGTGTTTCTCACTGCAGTGCTGTCCTGCAGAGGCAAAGGGCAGCTCTTAGTGCTTTGCTGTGTGATGCTGCTGTTATGTCAGTCCTCGTTCTTCCTGGGTTTCCTGCAGAAGATAACTGTGTGCTGGGTGGGAAGCCAGCATTGCTTTGGCTCTTGATTTAGCAAGGTAGCTTTTGCTAGGCTGCTGCACCCCAAGGCTCCTCTGACATGCAGTGTTTCCAGGCAGGTCAGTATGATCCAATCTGACCTTGCCTGTCTGTGCTGCTTTCCCTCTCCATGCTCACCTTCTTCCCTTTCCCTCCCCTTTTTGTATTCCCAGTGAATGGCTGCCAGCCCCTGCCAGCTCTGCCTCTTAGAGCTTCCACTTGTGATTCCTGGAAGGCAGACAGGCGTGAATGAATAAGAGCCTAACAGAGAGCAATCACTTGTTACAGCAAGTCTTCTTTTACCCCTTTCTTCAGATACAGCACAAAGAATCCCTCTCTGCAGTCTGAGACGGTTCATTACAAGAGAGGGGTAAGCCAGCAATTCTCCCTGCCTTCTTTCAAGATTGATTTCTCAGACTGGAAGGATGACGAGGTAAGTCTTTTCTTCGCGTTGCCTTCTTTCCACAACTCTGTTGCCCCAGAAGCATTGGCCTCTGTTTAGTATCACTGAGATATGGCTGGAAGATTTGCACTCAGAGCTGCCACAGCACGTTCTGTGGGTGTGAGACAAACAGGGCCTTGGGAGCAGCAGATATGAACACTGCCTGGGAACTTGGCAAAAAGATGAGGGAAACAGGGAAGAAAAGAAACTGAAAGAAGCAACTTCTGATAACGCTGATCAGCTGGCATCCCAGCAGCTGGCGTACGAGGGAGACAGCAGAGATTGGCACAGGAGCTGTTCCCAGAGCAACCCACACTCTGCAGCCTTGTTCTCCCTGTCAGCCAGAGAACTTGTGGGAACAAATGTGCCCCTGTTCACTTGCTAAGTCTTACCCGGTTACTTTGGGACAGAGCTGATAAAGATTCTGAAAGGGCCTGTCTTCATCTCTCCCTTTTGTTTTTTTTTGGCTTGTCATTTAGACCAGACTCCAGTGGTCTCCAGAATGGGATACATGCAAGGACAATTCATTAGAGTGTGAGAAGAACTTCAGCAGTAAACGTTGATAATTCATAAATTTATATATGTGTATATACATATATATATACACAAGGAGTGTATGACCCAAATTGTTATATTGATGGGAGTGAAAAATTGAAATAGTTTGGAGACTGCTGTTCTAAAAATAAGTCTTACTCTGTTTAAGGGCTGTGTCCTGCATTATTAGCTCAAGCAGTACCGTGCAGTGGGGGGATATTCTCCCCCCTGGGGCAGATCCACACTGGTTCATTAATGCCGAATAAGGGGATGCCTTCATCCTTTTATTTTTCTTTAACCCGTAACTGCAAACAGATGAAGGTTTGGTTTTAATTAAGCTCTGTGGCTTTTACTACATAGCAAGATCTATGGAGTCCTATTAATTTTGGTATCTCTGTAGAATTCCAGTCCAGGCAGTAACTCTGCTTCTTGAGCCTCTAAATGTTGGCCCAAGAGCTTCCCTGCATGTTACACAAGGCAGAAAGGCTTTGCTGTTTGCCCTCCTCTGTGCAGAGCTGTCCTGAGACATTCCTCATGCAGAGGAGTTGGTCTGTAGCTACTGCTAATACACTTGTTCCTGTAAACCCTTCTCCCAGGTCAAAATTAATACAATGCTCATTTCTTCTCTCAGGCTTGTATAAGAGCATTGTGTATGTGAACCCTAATAGGAAACACTACCTATTAAAAAATTAAGATTAAAAAAAAGAAAAAAGGAAAGAAAGAAAAGTCATCTTTCATGTATTTTGAAAAGATTGAATAGCTATTGTCTTGGAGTTGCAGTTTTAACTAGAATCAGTCGTGTGCTGTAACAGCGCTGTGCCAGTTAGCAGGAGCCTGCAGAGTCTGGCCTCCTGATGTCCTGGTTTCTCTGCCAATATATGATTTCACAAGTTCAGCCTACAAAAGCCTGGAAGAGCTGCTTTTCAACCCCTTCTGTCATCTGAGGGAACTGGAAAGTAGGAGCTCAGATCCCTTTCTTAAAGAGTTGGGAAGCTTGGTTTTTACTTTTGTTCCTGCCAGCAAGGTTTTAATTTGAGTGCTAAAGTCACAGCTTTGACAGCTTAAAGGAGAAGGGAGATGCAGTGGAAAAGTAAGTTTCTAGCTCCCTTCACTTGATTCTGCTGCATCCTCTGGTCTTTTTCATTGCTTTCATGGGGGCTCTGGTTGTTGAGACAATGTGGGACAAGCGCTGTGATTCAGAAGTTTCTTTCCCCACTTTGGCTGTGTGTATACGTTGTTTGTTTTTTTTTCTCTCAAGTGCAGTAAAATGCTGAATCTTCTTAACTGTCCCCTGAAATGCAGTGCTTTTATCTGACAGCTGGCTGTTATCATTCAGCTGTGTACAGTTATGTGTTCAGTTGCCCTCCTACTTCAGTGTTGGTGTTGTCAAAAAAAAAAGAGATTTGTTTCATGCTTTTGCTCAGTTAATACTTGGAGATGATGTAGTTCTTGGCTGGTCAGCAGAATGGAAAATAGTGTTATGTTGAGTTGTTACGTGGAAAAACCTTATAAAAACCTTGTAAAAACACCTTTTTACTTTGTTTTCATAACACGCTGGTTTGTTTGTGAGCTATAGTGTAAGGCTTGTGTTGGCAGTTATTTTCAAGCCCCTAAAAATGATTGGGAAATGAGCCATTAAAGAGGCCTTTTGTTTGAGAATGCAATAGTTTATATGGTAAAGCAAGCACAGTTGGTTGCTTTACTGTGATGCGACTTTTCTTCCTCATGGACAAAAAGTAGCTGTTGTGTTATGGCAATAAATCAGAGCAGGAAGCAAAGCAAGGCCTTAAGCTTCTTTCAGCAGTCTTAATCAGCTGTCCTCGATTAATGATGTTTTTCGTTCTCTGGTATGCTGTAATAGCTCAAAAATACAGGATAGAAAATAGCAGCCCTATTAGTTTAATCTAACAAGTACTGAGATGTTAAATGATGCTTTTATGTTCTCTGTGTTACTCTGCTCATTTAAAAGGAGATTATGGTCACTTGAAGGAGGAATAAAATGTGGAATCGTCATACAGAGAATGAAAATCTGCAACCCTCAGGTTTGAAGAATATCGGAGACAGCAGGGCTCAACGCAGAAGGTCTTCCAGCACGTGCTTTCCATTTAGAGTTGGATATGCATATTTGAGCAGTTGTGTGCTTAATGCAGCTGGGAGTTATTTCTAGAAAACGTTCAGATCGTGTGCCTTTGAGCCACTCAACTACTGACAGAAGAGCAGTAGGCTTGGGATTGCCTCTGCTCCCACACAGCCCATGAGAGACTGTGAGTTGTAGACCAGAGCGCGTGCATGCAGCCAGTAGCAGAGGTGCAGCCATGTGAGCAGTGGGCTGAGGCCTCTTGGTGGATGGATGCCAAGGTACATCATGTCCACGTACAGTTATCAGCATTTAGCTGTAGTTCATCCAGAGTGGAACCATCTCCAGCTCTGCCAGGGCTTGTTGTGAGGGTTGCCTCGCATCCAGTCTGGCGTTCTGGTTTGGCATTTTTGGCCATGACTGAGATTTTCCTCCTGGTGTATCTTTTGAAAGCCTTAATGGAGGAAATCACTGCTCCAGTGGTGCAGAGGGTGAGGAAAGATCAGGAGGCCCCAAAGCATCACCTGAAGGACCCTGCGACGCTTTGAAGTGAGTCTCAGCTTTCACGGGAAACTGGAAACAGGCTGCCTGGAGCACCATGGTGAAAGGACACCTTTTTCTCTCTTGGCAAGAGATGAGACAAGAAAACCAAATCAGTAATTAATAGAAACACTAGAAATCCAGTATGTGAGCCACTTCTGTTCCTGGCACAGGACAGTGTTTGTAAGGTTGTATTTTTCTTGCGTGTATAAGATCACACGTAGCTTTTGAAGTGCTTTAATGAAGTGCAAGGCAAAGGAAGAAATTTAGTCTATTTTCCTTGCACTCAAGGAAACTCTCAACTCTTAAATTTTCACTCTTATCCATTAGAAGATCAGGGACCTGAGCTTCATAACATGCCAAATGATGGAAATCAGTCTGGTGTTTCTTCAAAGTGTAGTGTGAGCTTGAAGTTTTGCAGATTTCATTCTACATCTTCAAGAACTTCATACGAGAATAAGGGTTGTTTTTTTTTGTGGTGTAGGGAACATAATGTGTACTGCTGTTCTGCAGTCACGGAATGGCTTGAGTTGGAGTGGACCTTACAGCCTCTCCAACCCCTCAGAAAGGGCTAAATTATCAAGCAGGGCTAAATAATGCAGAGAATTCTGCTTTTAGTGCTTCCTGAGGCCTCATATCTCTGAGGCCCATGGGCGCAGCTGGGGTGGTAGCACAGCTTTTAGTGGGAGAGCCTGCTGCCCTTGCAGGTGAAAGCTTGGTATCCTGTAACTTCATTCTTCTATTACTAATGCTATTGCAAGTCTTCAGACAGGCCTGGTGTGAATTGTCTAAATTGATGTTTCTTTCCCTCAGCTGAACTTTGACTTGGACCGTGGTGTGTTTCCAGTGGTCATCAGAGCAGTGGTGGATGAAGGGGATGGTAAGCATGGCATATGCTCACTCAGTCTTCTGTCTGGCTGGATGTTAAGTGACCCTTTATGGGATGCCTCGTTCTGCAAAAGCAAACACATTTTACAAGCAGCAAAGTTGTGGGGAGCCTTTCCAGAATGAAATTGGATGGGGTTGGACGGGGTCCTGGGCAACCTGGATTTAGATCCAGCCCTGCTAGGCAGGGGGGTTGGAACTACATGATCCTTGAGGTCCCTTCCAACCCGGGTGATTCTGTGATTCTGTGAAATTATTTCAGGAATTCACCATCACTTTCTTTCATTAAAAGAGTCTAGCTAATCACAGACTCTTACATAAAGATATGCTTTTAAAGGTAGCCTTGATTTTTTGACAGGAGAATTGGCCGGGTAGTTAGTGTTGGAGTGGGGTTTAGGATAGCTGGGGTTAGGTGTTGACTCTGCCACCAGAGTCTGGTGCAAACTGGAACAAATGATTCCCTCTCTCTTTTAGTTTTGTGTTTGCTTTGTTTTGTAACACAAGGATGGAGTTTGTATCTTGTACCTCTTTGAGGTTTGAATCATCTTTGTGAAAGCTAGAGCTGTCTGTAGGGCTGAGGAACTCTCAGAAGAAAAGAAAGGGCTTTTAAATCCTCAGGCCACTGTTCAACCACAGACAAATTAATTCAGCACTTTAAAATTACATTCTTTTTCCCAAAGGAAGTTGGATGGTATTAATAAAAGAGCATGACTTTTGATGGTAAATAATACTGCTGGTTACTTTTAAAGCACGCTGCCCTTTTAGAGAAGAGTGGGCAGTAAATGTTTAGATTGTTAATCACCGTGTGCTGTGTTTTCCTTTGGGTGTGTGTGCTTTTGGGCTCTGTGTGTTTGCACTCATTCTGAGCGCTGGTGATGGAAGGGGCACAAGAAAGTCACATGTTCCCTACAACTGATGGCTGTTGTGCTCAGCAGGACCAGCATTCCCCTTCTGCTTTTTGCAACTTTTGGTCCCAAACTGAAGAAAAATCAGAAAATCCCTTCTAGATTGTATTGTTTATTGCAGTTCGTGTGCTCTGCTTCCTGTGTGAAAGAAGTTCACTGCATTATTTTACAGTCCTCCAAGCAAACAGAACTGGAGGAAGCAATTTAAAGTGTGACCAACACAGTGTAGTGCAACAGAAAATAAATTGTTTTTAGAGTGCATCTGTTTTTACTGATTACAGGTGCTGTTAGTGATATTGACATATATATCCTGACCACGGATAAAAAAACAACTTCCACAATTTGTTGAACTTTTGCCAATGTATTTCTACTTTCTTATGTCAGACATATTGAGAAAGACAAAAATAGAACAGGAGGCAGCATGGGAAGCATACATTTATGCATATAATATGTCAGCTCTTAGCCAACAGTGAACTGTCATCTATATTAATAGCCTGGAAACACAATTTATTTTAAATCCTCTCCTGGATAGAATATCACCACAAAAATATGTGACACTTGAATAAGACTGGGAGAAATTGCTGTGTGTTCTGGTTCTTTTTTACTGATGAGATGGGCAGGAGCTAGACTTGTGTGTTTGGAGTATCTGGGAAACGACAGCTAGCTTGTGACTACTTGCAATGAATAAAATTGAATGGGAAATTAAAATAGCAGCCAGCAAGATGTTGGTTTGGGCTGATTTCTGCCAGGGAGATGTTTGTGCTCCTTGAAGAATGTAAGCTTGCAGCATTAGCACTCTTCATTCCTGCTTGTGGAACTGCTCTCAGTAAAGGTGCAGAAATCCTTAGGGGATGGAAGGTGCTGTGCTGCTCAGCCACGTGTGCTGCTTGAATGAACAGGATATGAAGGGAAGCCGTGTCTGTTATCTCTTCTTCAGCTGTTCAGACTGCAGTGAGGGACCTGCGTTTCATTTACTCAGTGATCTGGAACAGACTGCCCTTGTCTGGCAGGGAGGGAGCATGCAGGTGAAATCCCAGTTCTAGCCCTCTGTTCTGGATACCACTGTGTTCCTGAGCACATCCTCATTGCTGTGACCATTCTTGGCTATCTTAGCATATCAGCAGTCCTGGACTCCTGTTCCAGAGACTGCTGTTTCCAAACATGGTCTCTGTGCCACAGCCCACAAAAAAATCCTGTTTTGCCTTTGTTGTTCATGGCCCCCCAAAGAATCTATCAAGCTTCCATCCCTTTTTAGACATCACAGGAGTCATTTTCTTCAGCTGTTTACATTCTGGCACAGAGCTCATAGAGCTGCCTTTCTGCTCTTCTGCATGTGCTGACCACAGCACCGGTATTCCAGGCAGGGCTGGGTGGTGGCACACCTTTCCTTCCTTTGGAGATTCCTCCAAGACTCCCATTTCCACAGAGTGATTGTAGTTAGACAAAATGTAGACAATTGGAGCTGAACAGAACTGTGGATTCTTGAGTCAAAGAGGTCAGGATTGTGCCTTGGTTTCCTCTGTTTAGCACCTATGTTTCCCTGTGGCTTTTTTTGGTGGTAGAGTCATGGATGCAGCATACAGAAACCTCTGTTGGCCCCTTGTGAATGCTGTTGGATTAAGAAGGGGGCCTCTGAGTTGGAAGAGGAGGATGGGATATTTGTCACTGGGGAAAAAAAGATCTGATAACTGGACAGAGATGCTTTGCTGTCCAGACATATGAGAAATAAAGGTTCTACAAGCATGTAGGATTGGGCTATAATAAAGTAATAAAGTAGTAAGTGCTGGGGCTGGAAGGGCTGCCAGCTGCTGTTAAAACTGATGGATTTGTTTCTCTGTGGTAAATTCAGGTAACTACAGCCAAGAATACAGGGAGAGAGCAAAATGCCATTGAACTCTTTGTTTTAGTGTTTCCTATGCATCCTGTGTTTTAGCAGCTTCCTTATGGGTATCTTATAAGGGACAGTGTCAAAAGCCTCACCAAAGTCCTGCGGGACAGCACGCACTGCTCCTCTCATCCATCAGGCTGGTCATTATAGAAGCTTATCAGGTTGGTCAGGCCTGATAACTGTTGAATCCATGCTGACTACTCCTGACAATTTCCTTCCCCTTCATTGCCTGGAAATGATTTCCAGGATGAGCTGTTGCATCATCATGTTCCCAGGGACTGAGGTGAAGCTGACTGGTCTGCGGGTCCCCAGGTCTTCCTTCTTTTAAACTGCGAAAGGAGGTGAAGGTGGTATCGGTTTAGAAAGTGCAAATTCTAAAATCTGACTGAAATTCAGTTCACGGTGATGTCATGCTTGTGCTGCTTTCAATGTTTAACCAGGAGCGTTCTGTCTTTCTGCAGTGGTGGTTGAGGTGACAGGCCATGCCCATGTTCTTCTGGCTGCATTTGAAAAGGTAAATGACTTCTCTTTTCTGTCCTTATCACTGTATATGTCAATATTTCCACGGGTCATTAGTTTGTGTTGATATATCACTTAGCACAGTGGGGTCCTGGCATGAAACTAGAGTTCAGGAGTGGCACTGGACAACAAATAATAGCTTGCAGCAACTGCTGGGCAGTGTGTAATCACTATTTGTACCTGAGCTGGTCAGTCAGCTAATTGTAGCTGGTGTTTCCTGTGTGTGGGGAGAGGGTGTGCCGTGGTACCTGTGACGTTTGAGAGTGGTAGATGCTGACCAAGGCTGCTAGTGTGCAGCTTTCCAGGGCCTTGTGATCAGTTTACAAAACTGGATTTGCTGTGTCCAGAGCCTGCTGCACCTTTGTTTGGCCTTACCTTATGCTTAGCACCAAGCCCTTTTATGGCTCAGGGTACATCGTGCATAAAGGCTTCACTTTTCCTTGATAGTAGCTGACCTGAGCACTGCCAATGCAGGGAGGCTGAGCACAAGCTTTGATTGGAGTCTCTTCGCATGATGACTGTACCTTGAAAGCATTTACGAGATTCCTAACTACTTTATGTTGTGTCTGGACATATGTCCTGGGCAAGTGACGTGTAGTGACATCCTAAGATGAGGCAAATGTTGCTGGAGTAGAGTTGGGCATGTTGAAGAGAGCAGCATTAGTGCTGTGCTGTTAGAACTTCCTGCTTCCAGGCTGGCATGTGGGCTGACTTCTCCTCAGTCTGCTCCGTCCCTGCCATGTCCAGAAGTAAGCAGGAGTAAGTTGCCAGGACTTATCCTAGGTGGATAGTGTAGATGGTGATATTCTGAGTCAGAGGGCCTGGGCAGCACAGTCAGTCCTCAGGAAGCCCTGTGGTTGGAAGATGCTCGAGGTTTGTTTTGTTGTTTAGCTCGGTATGCGTTGGACTTACTGCAGACAATTAGATCTGTGAGAAATGTGATGGGCAGCTGCAGCACTTCTGGGACTGTTCTTCTAATTGCCTTGTCCAGATGAGCTGGAAAGATCAAAAAGTCTCTGGAATCCCTCAGTCATTGCTTGGCAGCACCTGGGGGAGGACAGTGTGGCAGCAGGTCCTTGGGAAAGGCTGTAGAGTTTGGAGTCCTGCTGTCATCTTGGTGAGACTGCACTGCAGAGTCCTAGGGCCAGTGCTTGATAACTGTGCCTTGTAGAAATGTCTTTCCCTGAGATACCTTCCAATGGAACAAGCTTAGTTCCCATAGTTGTAAATGGCAACTAGGCTGTGACTGATAGCATAAAGTGCTACATCTCCCAGTGCGTGTTAAATATGCTGGAGATTGTTAGAGCTGTTACGATGCTTTCTGGGTCCCATACAGCTGCAAACCCTGAGAACACAGTCATGCAGCTGGCTTTGGGGAAGGAAGGGCAGTGCCAAGCCCTGCAGAGTGGTCTGGTTGTATTGGGAGTGTGTTAATGTGAGGGCAGAAGTGAAGCGTTGGAAACTTCTGGCTCATGAGGAAAGTAGCTTAACCACTCCAGCTGTGGAAGCAGGCTTTCAAGAATTATAGATAATTTCCATGTACTGTGCAGAGCTTTGAGCTGTCTGGATACATAGAGGTGATGGCAGATGTCCCCTGAGTGCTCAGGAAGCTGAACAACTGAATTGGGAACCGACTAAAGCTGCTCAGGCCATTCCATCAATGCTGGTTCATGCCTTGTGTCCAGCTCAAAGGCTGAATCTGCTTCCCTTCTTTTCCCAGTCTGTGTGTGCTCTGAGAGGGAGGTGCCAGTGAGGCCACTCCTTACTTCTGATCTTCCAGCTGAATGCTTAAAACAAGATAAAAAAAATTTTTAAAGGTCAGAGGGCAAAGTGCTTACAGAGTTCTTTCTCCTCCTGTCTTAGGATAATTGCAGCTTTTGAAGTGTAGGTATGTCAATCTGGAGGAGGTTTTTGCTAATAATCACTGCTGCTGATCAGCAAAGCATGTTTGAAGGACAGGCAGGTCAGCAGCCTCAGCAGCTCGCTGTTGGTGTGCGTCTTTAAGAGCAGAACAGTAACCTTGACACTGCACAGTGTCTGACTTTGTAGCTTTTCCAAGGTCAGAAACTGGGCACGTTGTGTTTGCCTGGAAAACAGTACTGTTTTGTCTTTTGGTGTAACATTTTTGTGTCTTCCTTCTGAAACTCCTCCAGCAAACAGATGCGTGTCTGCAGCTGCTCGCAGCAGTAGGCCTTGTTGGAGTTTCCCCTCAGTCTCCTTCCGTGCTCTCAATACTCTGCCAGAGGAGTTGGTTTGATTCACATCAGTTGGCACTTGGGGATGAGGGAGAAAATAGAGCTGGCACATTATTCCTGATGCTAATTCTGACACCAGGTACACACAGAATTGTTACAGTCGTGCCTGCTGCAGCCATGCCAATGATGTGCTAGGGGTGCTGAGGCAGAGTACATGTTTCTGACTGCAGCCAGTGGCCAAGCCTTGCTGTCAGCCTTGTGCCACCCCCTGCTCTCCTGGGGCTCCAGCCTCGAGAATGGCTCTGACTGTAGGTGTTACCTAGGGAGTTAACAAATACCTCCTGCCAATTATTGCTGCATTTGTTGAAGAAATGTTTGCACCCAGCTGGACTGGCTGCACCTTGAAAGCATGCAGTGTGCCAATGGATTTCTATGTATGCTCTGACCCACTTGAGCCAAGAGGCTAATAACTGGAGCCAGCTCCATCTGCCTCTGTGCTGCAGTGAACAAGGAGCACACTGATGCCCTGTTCCACTGCCTGCTGGGAGCGGTTGGTGTTCAGGTTATAATACACATGCCACTTTTCCCTTAGCTAAGAGATGTCAACTGATCATTAACCTGCTTTAATTTTTGTACATTTTGTCTGTTTAATGCGTTTCTTTTTTATTTTTTTCCTCCTAGCATGTTGATGGCAGTTTCTCCGTGAAGCCATTAAAACAGAAGCAGATTGTAAGTACTTGTTTGTTCCTGATTAAAGTCGTATTTGTGTGCCAGAAACACTCAGTGGTCCCTGGTGGGAAGCTTTGATATTAGTTCACCAAAGGCCTGACAGCTTGGCTACTTAGCTCAGATAGCACCAGCAAAGTGGGTTAGTGTTGGGCTGGATGTTGTGTACTGTGTGTGTTGGGGAAACAAACATGGCAGTGCAGTCATGCAAGCCTGTTTATTCTGCTCTGCAAGTCAGGCACTGTATAAATTCAGTCTTCCTTATATATTGCTGCCTCACAGATATTTGGTGCTTTTATGAAATTGGGACCGCAGTGCTGATGTTTTGATCTCTGTGTAGGTGTGTGTAAATTAGGTTTGTGTAAATGAACTTAAGGTGTGTGTAAATTAGGTTTGTGTAAATGAGCTTAAGGACTATGGATGTTAAGTAACGTGAGCCACATCTGTGTGTCCACACTGCCTGGTTGCTTTAGGTTCTGTGTTTTGTGCTGTGGAAGGATATCTTTGCTGACTCATGTCCTACATAGAGGTTGATTACTGTTAGGTTTCCACATATGTGGATGTGAAAATAATAAGGGATCTTATGCGTATCTTCTCCCTGCATAAGCTTCCTTTTTGTGTCTGTAGTATCTCTGGAGAAATCTCATGCACTGAAACCTTTTGGCCCAACCTGCCTGTCCCCTGGGACTTGAGCAGGCACAGACACCGTTGTTCTTTGACTCTAGCTTATACAGACTGCACACATGAGGAGGGCAAGGCAAGAAGGAAGAATGGCAAACAAAATGTTAGGGATTTGTAGCCCTCTTTTAGCTCGGTGCAGTGTGGTGCAATGCACAGAAACTGTGCAAAGCCTTATCAAGATTGAAATTGCACTTAGTCCTGCGTGGAGAGAAATGCATAAGCAAAGGCGACTTCTAAAGATTGCCAAGAGTTTAAGCTTCTGAAAGACAATTGGGTAGCATTCCTGCTGCAAGATCAGATTGAAATGTCTTGGTGACAGAGAAGAAATAAGGTGGAACATACAAGTAGGCTGTTCAAATGGATCTGGGAGATGCTCTGTTTCCTGAGAAACTGACTTAAATAGCCTGGCAGCTTTGCATCTTGCATATTGTATGAAGGATAATGCTCTTCAGGTTAGATCAATCCAATCTGATATTGTTCTGGTGCATGGTCTTAAGAGACACAAAATATGAGGTAGGAATTCAGCAGATCGTGTGGTACTGAGAGCAGTGATTCAGTCATGTTACTTTGGAGTCCTCGCAGAGCAGTGGCTTATGTAAAACTTGGCTGAAGTAAGGGGACTTTCAGTACCTGACTGGCTTCCTCCTACCGTTCCTGCATCTGCTGTAGTCTTGTCATCCTTTTCATTGCTGGAGCTCTCATCAAGTCTGAGCATTACTCACCAGATCTGTCTGGATTCTTCCCACATCTTGAAATTACTTCCTTGTTGCTTGGAAACTCGACCCTTCTCGTCCTTGTTGCCGTAACCTCCATCCTCACTGCAGTACACACAGCATGCAGTGTTCTCATTTCCTTGTTGTTCTTGAACATACAATATTTGTATGATAATCACGGATAAGTTTAGCTTTGTGCTTTGTGCTGCAGAAATATGTTTTTGCATCGTCTTTTTTTCCATCCTCGTTTCACATTGATGCTCCTCAGATTCTCCTCTTAGCCATGCTTGGCTCTTTTCTGCAGCTTTACCTCCTCTGTGACTGATTCAGTCATAGAGGCTTGTTGGTGCTCCCTGCTCCTCATCAGGCACTTCTGCAGCACGTTGGGACTGTCCTGTTTTCAAGAACAGTGTGGATGAACTGACAGACATACTCTTACCTTTCGTTTTTGAAAATCATTTTGCACTGTGACTTTTGGTTGCCTTTTTTCTTTGTTTCAGGGCATTATCTTGTCTGATGACTGTATTAGGATGAGCAGTCCCTTTCCCAATAGAAGTGTTGATAGAAATTAGCTGCCTCAGAGCAAAGCTGTAAATGGCTTTGTCTCTGCAGAACCTATCTTGCAGATTTCTTTCAGATAAGATTTCTAAGCTGTCTGTGCTGAGACCGAGTGGTTATGAAGTTGGTGTTTGAAGCAGACTGGGGAGAAGGTGCAGGCTTCTTGCCCTTGAGAGTTTACAAGAGTTTGGAATAAACTACACCCAGCAGAAAGCCACAAGGTTCACTCCCTTGAACTGGCCAGAACTGCATCAGTCAGGGTTCTGCACCCCAGTGCTGTGCTGCAGCTGCAGTGTGAGCTCCCCCACGTGCCTGGTGCAGAATGCAAGCCCTGGAGGTACGTGGGGTAAAAAGGCAGATGGGAGGGAAGTGTGAGCTGTTTTGAAGTATGAGCTGCAGTTTTCAGCCAGCAAAGTTCCGTGTTCAGCAGCGCACTGAACTGTGAGTGCTGTGCATGCACTCATGGTCTGTCCTTCAGGTTTGCTCCTGCCCAGCAGAAGCAGCCTTAGCTCTCCCTGTCTGGGCTTCATTGCAGTGCTGGAGATGAGTTACCAGCCTGAGCCCTGCGCTCGTCCTTCCTCTGAGCTTGGTTCTATTGCAGCGTGGTTCCTGGCTGAGTCCCAGGTCTGCATCCTACAGGTGTTGTTAGCAGCCAGCTGGGGATGGTTCCAGAAATCAGCACACAAGGGCACGCATGTGGTAGGAACATCCAGAAGAGTGCATTCTGCAGGGAGAGCTGGGTGCTGTGCTGGAAAAGGCTGCTGAGCTCTGAGGGAGCAGAGCAGTGTGGTGCTAGCTGCACCTTGTTCCACATTTTCTTCTGCTCAGAGAGGAGCATTACAATGGTGAGCTGACAGAAAGCAGCTTGTTTATCTTGCCTTTTATTTAATGACATGCATACATGGCTATGAGCTCTCTGAATTGATGCTGGATTGCTATGCACATTAATGCACTGTGTGCATCGTTCTCCATTTAGTGCTCTGGGCTTCCCAAATGGAGGACTGTGTTGCTAGAAGTGCTCTCCAAGGAAGTTCCTTCCCTACCACGACATGGTTAGCTGAGTCTTGCAGTGAAGCAGCGTGTGCTTGTCTGTCTGTGCTGGCACAGCATGACTCCTTCCCACTCAGTGTTTGGTTGTCGGTGCTTTTTTTTCTTGGCAGTTTGTAAAATTTAATGCTTACATGTTCTCTCCCATCGGTTTTAAAATAGAAGTAAACTCTTGCTAGAAGAACACACAGTACCACTGAAACTAATGTAGCATCTGCATCTATAGGAGCACAGAGCAGAAGTATGGAGTATGATGGGAATAATCCATCTGTGTAATGCTATAAATGCTTCCCCATTGCAGCCTTTCTTCTGTCTGCCCCTCCTTGCCAGTGCCAGGATTCCCGGGTGCTTTGTGTGCACGGATCTCTTAAGCTCTTTGGGAGCAGGAAGCAGCAGCTAATGAGCTGGACTGCTTTGTTCTCTCAGCCAAAATCAGCCATAGTGTATGTACCAACCTGCTCTTAAATAAAAAAGAAAAGAACATGGTTGAATGGGAACAGATGGAATAAAGAGAGCCAGAGAGGAAGCATGATCTGCAGTTGGCCAGTGGCTCTTGTGTGCATCAGCTGGGTCTGAATTTAGCAACAGAAGCCTTGGGAAGGATGACGTGCTGTGGGAGAGATGAGAAGGTGAGGGACAGCACAGTGTAGTATCACCTATTTCTAATTTACCCCTGCAGTTTTAAAACTTAGAGATCTTGTAGTAAGAGCCATGTTGTGCTGCTCACTCTTTTCTTAGTAGGGCCACATGAGCTTCTTGTGGGATTTCTTTTGAAGCAAGCAGTAAAATGAACACAGAATCCTGCAGAGACTTGGGTCTCTCCCTTCCTGATGTATTTTGCTCTTTGAGCTGGCCGTTGTGCACTCACTATCACTCAGCATGATCCTCGGAGGAGTCGGGATGCTGTGAAAAGACTCTCTTTGACATGTTGAGTTATAAAAGGACAGCTCCCACATAATTGTTCACAAACTTCCTGAGACACTGCAGAGGATTTTGCTCAATCCTCGACGGTCCAACTGCTGACCTCATTGCCTTGAAATGCAGGCCTAGAACAGATTGTGAGCTGCATGCTGAGTTAAATGGGCAGACTCTGGAATTGGTTTGTTAAAGCTGCTGCATCCCAGCTCAGAGCATTTCTAAACTAGTAGGCAGGCTGGATGTAACTAGCTTGTGTTCCCATCTTGGCATGGAGCGTGTTCTGCGGCACTGAAATCCGACAGCACAGCCATTGCTCTTCTGAGCACCTGGCTTGACAGAGGAGGAGGAGCAAGGCTGATAACACCTGGAAATGCCAAAAGCCCTAGAAAAACGCTGAGCCATTGTAACATTGCATTCCCAGTGGCTTGGCTTCACTGCATGGTGTCAACTGGACAGTTTCTGGAGCTAACAGGAAAGTGTTTCATACCATTCCTCACCATATGTGTCAGTTTGTTACCTTGCAGCTGCTTTGCTGTTGCTTTGTAAAGAGGAGCAGGTGTGCAGAGCTACCTCAGAGCAGCATCTCTGTAATGTTCCATACAGCTGTGAGAGTGTTGTGCTGTACTTGCTGGCTGAGCTATGGAGCCATGGAGAACACCACACAGGAGTTGCTTCTTTGGGACCTGAGCCATCAGCCTTTCTTGTGCTGCTTTAATTCAGCTGCTCAGGGTAGTCTGGGGGCAGCTGCTAGCATCTGCATAAAGACATGGTTCAGAGGAGTTCATTCTGTGCTGGGGGTTGTGTGCCTGGCAGTGCTTTCTGCTACCACACACCGCAATTTAAAGATGCCACCAAGGGCCTGGAGATGGTCATAAATGGCAGTGCACTAAGGGAGATAGTTTGTTTGTCTTCAGTAGCTTGCCCTTACGCTCCCAGGAGACAAGGGAAGCGTAGTGCAGTCCTGGATGTGCAAGTAATGAGCCATTGGCACAGCAGCACACTGAGGACCTTCCCTAGCCTCTCCTTGTCTGAGATTACGAAGATGGATGGAAATCCATCTTGGCTAAGGTGAGCAGTGCTTCACAAAGGGAAGGGACTGTGGGAGGCTGGTTTTATCTGGCTTCTGTGAATTTTGGGCGTATGTTACTTTGTGATTTCTGTGATAAACAGAGTGTTTTTGAGACGATCTTGGTAGTCACTGAAGCGGCCAGTCAGGCTCTCAACTCACCAGGTGGGGTAGGCACCACTTTGGAGCAAGGACACATTCATTCTCCTGCTGTCTTTTGTGATGTTTGCTTCTATTAATGGTTTCCAATAACTCTAGGAGAGCCAGTTGCCATGGGTGTTGCATGGACGGTTTTGACACAGGGAAGGAGGGAAGATGATCTCAAAACAGCAATTGCAGAGCAGCTGGTAGAACTCCAACTGTTATCTTTCTCCCTAGGTTGACCGGGTGAGCTACCTGCTTCAGGAGATCTATGGCATTGAGAACAAAAACAACCAAGAGACCAAGGTAAGGGTGCTCAGAAGACTCCTGCTCCCTGGGCTGTGGGTTTCCAGCTTGCTTCTTCCACTTTCAAGTTTACATACGAGTTTTGGCACTGTAATTAAAGATGCTTTCCAAGATGGCCATCAAGTCTGTGGTGTTACTGCAGGCACTGAAGAAGCCCAGGAATGAAAGGCCTTCACTGCGAGGCTCAAACAGTGTGATTGTGCTGAGATAATTTCAGATAGTCTGAGCCTCATGAGGATATTTCCTGGAGCACAGGGAGGGGAGGGCATCAGTGCCCCTCAGTGTTTCAGAGCCAGGAGACAGTGTGAACTGCTGCTTTCAGTGCCCTGAGGTTACTGGCCAATCTGGGTGCTTCCCAGTGTACAGACAAGAGGCTCTTTTTTTCTCACTGACTGTTAATGAGCATTGCCTCTCCACAGTCAAGGTACCTGTGTTTGGTGTCCATGCTTTTCTGCTGTGGCTCTTCAAACATCTGTTGTTTTGTTCTGGGAGGACTGCATGTTCCTGTAGCACTGCATGAAACTGAGCTATCTAGAACTTGCAAGATCAACCTGGATTTGTGTACAGGAGGGAGCACAGCATTGGTGACATGAGGGGATATATATGCAAGTGCCTTAACCAGAGGCACCGCCTATCTTCGGGCAGGAGCTTCTCCCAAATCCTGGTTTGCTGCACAGCCCCAAGCATGTTGTGTGACTGCTTTGTGCTTGCAGTAGCCTTACACAGGGCTGCCCTTTGCTGCCATCTGGGCTGCAGAGCATATGAAGTGCTGGTCCCAGACTGCTATTCTGAGTATTAGCGTGTGATTTGCAAACAATGGAGCAGCCACGGTGCAAGACAAGCTGGATTTCCTCTCCAAGTAATGCAGTGTCCTGCCTCAAGCATACTGTAATCTCTGCCTGCCTGCGCCAACAGGTAGCACCTGAAAAGGCAGAAGACAGAAGATTTATTTTGCATTTTCCATTCTCCTGCCAAATTTTTGCCTCTCATTTCAGCCTTCAGATGATGAGAACAGCGACAACAGCAATGAGTGCGTGGTTTGCCTGTCAGACCTCCGGGACACTCTCATTCTGCCCTGCAGACACCTCTGTCTGTGTAACTCCTGTGCTGACACCCTGCGCTACCAGGCCAACAACTGCCCCATCTGCAGGCTGCGTGAGTTTCCTGCCCAGGGAACAAGGGCATCTTTCTCCCTGTGCTTCTGTTAAGTCAGTAGAGGCTGTGAGGATGTGTATGTATTGTATTTAACCCACCCCAGGGCTCCGTACCAAATGTGCCACTCTTCTGGGTGATGTGTGGAGGTTCCTGGCATCTAAAATAACTATCCTTGAACAGGGAAGGAATACAGTGGGAGAAAGGCCATTTGACTGGGGCCTCTGAAGGCCCTCTCTCCTACGTGAGGTGTATGGCAGCAATGGCTCTGGTGCAGCTGAAATTGCAGTGCCATCCTAGTCTTGTTAACATGACTCCCTCAACATTTCTTTTAAAGGCAGACTGAAACCCCAGGTCACTCTGATGCTTTCTGGCCCTGCACCCTTCTCTAGACCTCGCCTCTTACCCTGCACGCTGCTGCCTTCTCTGTTTGCGTGTGGATCACTCTGGTGATTCTACCTTCTTGCTATTCTGGGGCTAGCAAGGTGGGCACTGAGTGCACAGAACCGATTTTCTTTTCCCTCAAAGCTCCCAGAATGTTGAGAGGATCTGCTTAAACCTCCACTGCTCGGTTCCTAAAGTTGGAATAACTGAAATACCCATTTTGACATTCAGACAATACTTGCTAAATTCCTTGTCTTTTTGCAAAAGCACAGAGATGCAGGAGTGTTTTGAGAAAATGCCTGTGTCTTGGCTGGAGTAGCAGATCCCTGCTTTTTACCCTGTGCTTTATCTTGGAGATATTTGATCGTTCCTTCTTATGAAAAGGACAAAGAGCCTAAGACAGATGTTTGGTCTGAGAAGTTAAGTCTGAAAAGTTCGAACTCGGCAAAGATACAGTAACTGAAAGCAAGATCTCATCAGAGGAAGTGCTAGACAGCCTTGACTACAGGTAGCACAGCTTAAGATATGGAGCAGCATTATCTCATCTGCATTCTGCAGTGAAGTAGGTTGTTTATGTTTGGAAGGTGTCTGCTTGCTGGACTTCCTGGGAATCTGTATCTGAGGAGTGTAGAGACAGTGAGGATAGATTGGCACCTCTGGCTTTAGCCTGATCTTGAAAGCGTAGGGTGCAGTAAGAAGCAGGGAGATGCCTGGGCTTTTCCTGGTGTACAAGCAAGTTCTTACAGCTGTGTCAGAACAGATGTCTAGCTCATTCATGTGCGCCTGTGGCACTGAACTGACAGTATTAAAGATCTGCAGATAGAAAGTGGGACTGTGGGCATGAAGAGCAGACTAAAGCTGTCGTGGGAAGGCCGAGGGCTCGCTGTGCTGTGGCTGTCTGTTCACCTGTGTGCTCTTTTCTCGTAGCCTTCCGTGCCCTGCTGCAGATTCGAGCTGTGAGAAAAAAGCCAGGGGCTCTGTCACCAGTGTCATTCAGCCCCGTCCTGGCACAGAGCGTTGACCATGATGAGCATTCTGTAAGTAACTCACTGCAACCCTTTACACAAAACCTGGATGCTGGTCTCAGCCTGGGCAGGCAGCTTGTGTGCGCACAGGTTGCTTGGCTTGTTGACCTGTGTCCCTCAGACCTCAGGGTGTTTGCTCAGGCCTTGGAGTGAAGCCTTCCTGCATTATGCAGTGCCTTTCCTCAACTCTTCTATAGAGCTTTCATATGTTAGTAGTAGTAAAGGTACAGAAATGTGGCAGACACTGGGACAACAGGCTGGGCAAATGGGGTTACCGTTCAACTCTGGATGTCTGTGTGGCAGCACACTGTGATGAAACCCCCTGGCTCTGGGATACTCAGCACAGTAGGAGAGAGGCCTCTTTGTGCCAGCTTCCCTGAGTGATTAGGGTCTGGGAGGCAGCTGAGTGAGCTCAGGATGGAAAATGCAGTGCTGTTGGCCTCCAGACCAAATCACATGCCTCTGGTGTGCTGAGGGCAGAAGCTCGTTGCCTGAGCAGTGCTATTGCACAGCTGGCTCTGGCGAGACATGAGGTCAGAGTGAGGAGTTCTCCCTCTAGATGATCTTGCAGGCCTTAATGAGAACAGAAAAGGCTTGTTACAGGAACAGCCTGGTTTTATCCATGTATCCTCTTCAGCACTGTAGCCCTGCTGTCTACAACTGGGGCTAAGAAATAGGGCAGGGGAAGAAACTGAAGGGCAGAGTGTAGTGTAGGGGAGAGCAGGCGCTGTCACCTGGAGCAAGGTGAGGAATTGCTGGGTGTCTCTGCGTTGCTAACCTCTAGGAAAAAAATAAAAAAAACTACTTTAAAACATGGTTTTCTCTTGACAGTGTCTCTTTAAACCCCCTAAAGTGAACACTGTCACCCTGCCCAGCAGGAAACCTAAAAGGAAAACAGTAAGTGGACTCAGTTGTATTTGTATCCATGGCAATTATTTGCCAGAGGCTTCACTGGCACGTGAAAGTGTTACAAACATGAGGGCTTGCTAAAATGCTGGATTTGACTTGTGCTCCTGCACAGCCTGCAACACATGAGCACTGTCTCCATGTTAGTGGTGAGGTGCTCACAGCCTGCACAAATGATCACTAACCTTTCTGGCTTGCGTACGGAGGAATAAACTGTAGGGACCCGGTGGGTGACTGCCTCTGGGTCCTGAGCCTGGCTGCAGAAGACATTTCATAGCTTTGTAGGAACACAAGCAAGCTGCTGTCCCCTTGGCTCACCCAAAAGCTTCCTCTCACTTGTCTCATCCAGTTTGGAGTGTGCACTTCTCACTGTGGTTCCCACACTGGTTCTGAAACACAGAAGTAGGCAAATAGGCACAGCTGGACTTGCATTAGGACTCCTGGCTGCAATGAGCTGCTTTGCTTTTACAGAAACAGGAAGGATAGAGCTTGTTCTGTTGAGGAGTGTCCAAGATGGTGTGAGAGTGTGTAACTGGAATGTCATCCTGGGGACAGCATGAAAGGCAACTGTGGGAGACCAGGAACTGGGAAGGGGAAAGGTGAGGGAGGCCCCCCTGCCCCAGGAAGGGGCCCTCACTGTGTAATCCTATGCAACTATAGTTGTCAACAGTATTAAGGAGGCTGCAGTTTTCCTCATGCCGGTCCGGACGCTCAGACTGAGGAGGAATGTGGCTTATCATATCTGGAGAAAACCTAGGGCTGGGTTCAGTAATGGGGCTGTCACAAGTTTGATGTGACCTGGCTCCGCACAAGCCTCAGACAGCAGCTTGTACTTTGCTGGAGCTCTGGGGTGGTGTTGTGGAACGCGGCCCAGGAGAGGGCAGTGTCTCTCCAGACTGAAACCTCAGAAGCGTTCAGCCAAGATGTTGCAGGCAGTAGCTGAGATCCTCCTCCAGCCTCTGAGCGGTGCTGTACAGCCTGAGCGTTCACCAAGTGAAACAAAGCGAGCAGCAGCCTTTGAGCCCTCAGGCCTTGCTCTTCACAGGCAGGAGAAAATGGTCCCCCAGACTTGAGCCAATGGCTTTTGTTTTCCTGAACTTACTGTCTACACAATAGCACCTCTGAGCTGCTGTATGGAAATGAAATGTCTCTGTGCTTGTGGCTCCTGAACCTCTGTTGTGCAGGTAGCAGCAACTGTGAGCCAATCCCGGTCCAGATTGATTTGAGTATCTCACAATCCCCATCTGTGGTCTTGGCCACAAGGTCATTGATGTCATGAGGCTATTTTTTTAGAGGATATAGGTTGATTCTTGACCCCAGCTGCCAATCATTCTTTCTTCCTCCATCAGATCTAGCTCCTTCTGTGACCACAGGTGAGTCAGTTCAGCTATCAGCTCACCCTCGATTTAGTGACTGTAATGGAATAGATTCCTGAGGAGTTCGGTCTGCAGCTGCATGACTGGGAGGTCCAGCACTGAAGCTACAGACATCATGGCCAGGCTCAGCAGCAACACTATCTTTGGTACAGCATACAACAACCTCCCTGAGGATGCAAGGCTGGAACAGATTAAGTTAATCTAAGCATGGGCTTCTGTAGTCTTGCCTCTTCATTTGCAGTGGGCTGGGCTGCCTGTGGCATTGCTGGGTTACAGCATAAACTCCATTTACCTCTTGAGTCTGCAGTACCTTATTGATCAAGAAGATTTTGGGAGTTAAACCGTTGCTGGTTCAGTAGCTTTGGAAACTTCTCTTTGGCTGGTAGCTAAACTGAGTTATAGAGGGAATGGAAATGTGCAGTTTTGCTCCCCACCTGTGGGGTCAGTGATTCTGTGATCCCTTTCAATATTTTAGCAGAGGTGACTGTGCAGCTGCATTAGCAGCTGAGGGAACACAGTCAGGGGAAAAAGTGCAAGTAGTTTTGCAGGACCAGCTCTTATCTAGAGAGTCGCTCCTTTGACTATCTCAGTGACTGTGGTGGTGCTGTGAAACAGCTGCATGTACACAGGTGGAAGCAGTGGTGGGGTTCTTACTGGCTTGCAGCTGAGCCTCCCATTATGTATGTCTCCAGCCTCATGAGGGTTTCTTAATGTGCCCCTCTCTTCTCACCCACAGAGCTCTGACAACATCCCTCCAGGCTATGAGCCTATTTCCTTGCTGGAAGCTCTGAATGGCCTTCGCTCTGTGTCGCCCTCCATCCCGTCAGCTCCTCTGTATGAAGAAATCAACTACTCTGGCATGGTGGATGGGATGCCCCCTGCAAACCGACCGCTGGTTGGGATGGACAGAGCCGTGGAGAGCAGCCACCAGAAGGGCAAGCGGAGCAAGTCTCCAGATAGGTCAGCATGGGGGCAGAGGGGGTCCTTTGTAAGCCCTGAGGGCTTGTGGCCATGTACTGGGGCTGAAAGGGAGCTGTGCCTCTGAATCACTGCTAGCTCATCCTGTTAGGAGGCCAGCGGGTCCTCATGGCAGTGAGAACTGGGATACCACCTCTGTGTTCAGCCTGAAGAGACCAGCGTTATGTCTCCTGGGAGTTAGCTTTGACATCCAAAGGATTTTTAGTAAGGAAATTTCACCAAGTCTTTGGGTGGGAATGTCTTCCTTTTCAATGCAGCTAGTGCCTCCACTTGCACGTGACATTCAAACCTTGCAGGATTTCAGCTTTCCATAGAGTTCCCTGGGAACAAAAGAATGGAGAAGTGACCTGAATTTCAGAGGACAAAATGCTGAGATCCTTTAGTTGTTTTCTGAGGCTTCCTCTGATGGCCATGGGTTGAGGTGTGAGTCCTGTGGAGCATCCCTCGCTGAGCCGTACAGAAGGCTGAGTCACACGGGGTCGTGCTGCGTCTGTTTGGGCACTGCTTGCTGTGTTCCAGCTGCTCGTGAGTTTTTGCCACCTCATCAACAACAGCAAGTCATTGCCTGTCAAACAGAGCCCAATCCAGGGCTTGGCACACCCCAGGCAACAGAATGGGCCACGGCTGGAATCACCCATTCTGTGCCCTTCCATCCTGTCCCACAGGCTCTGCTCCCCCAGACCCAACTGCCTTCTCCACCCTTGTTCTGGTTTGGCTAATGACCGTTTGAGGAATGAGGTAGAGGTGGTGCTGCCCCAGGAGGTGCAGGATGAGTGTCTTCCTGCACACAACTTGTATTTGCTTACAGCTCTGTACCCTCTTGTCAAAAATCTGACAGAGGAGAAAGATCCTCAAACTGTCAGGAGGAGAAGAAGGAAAAGGAAGTGAAAGAAAGGGACTGAAACTGCTGCTTTGTCACTTTGGTAGGACATGAAATCAGAGCTGTGCTAAAAGTACACTGAACGTCCTGGCAGCCAGCAAGGACTCGTGGCTGTGTCACAGAGCTGCTGCTGCTCTCTGTGTAGCTGATCTTTAGAGCTCTGGTGAATCTGTCTCAATAGTTTGAGTTCCTGCTCTGAATTATCTTATGTTGCTGGTGGAAGGTGGGTTGGGCAGAGGGACGGGGAAGGGTGATGACAGCTGGAACTGCCACCACCAAACAGAGTTTCTCTTACTGCAGCACACTACGGTCTCCCTCATCCCCAATTCACGAGGAGGATGAAGAGAAGCTCTCCGAGGACTCGGACTCACAGCCAGCACTGGGCGGGGGCGAGCTGGTCCTGAGGGAGACGAGCTCCCCAGAAGTAAGTCAGTGCTATGAGCCAGAGCTGTCCTGCGGGGCTTCTGGGGCTCAAACTGTCTCCTGAGGAGTCACTGCTTCCCCAGTGTAACAGAGAGCCCACAGTCAACAGTCTGCTCTGCCTCCAGTCACCCACCGGGCTCGGTGCCTCAGGACCCAACTGGGCTTTGGGAACTGGGAGGTGGGAGAGCTGCAGTCAGTGCACATCAAGGCAGACATTTGCCCTCTGTGTTCCTGGAGGCTGAACAGTTTGAGTGGGAAGCTGAACCTTGTATGTCCAGCGTCTGCAGAGCTCTTCTGGTGCTGTTGCCTGTAAAACACCCTATGGTGCCATAGAACCAACACTGGCTTCTTGCTCCTACCCTGAAATGAGTCCCTGCCTCAGGCATCACTCTGGATGTTAGAGGAGTTAGAGACAGTTAGAGGAGGAGACAAGTGCAGGAAAGGCTGAAGTAACTTGTGCTGTTTCTCCTTACAGAGTGTGGCAGGGGAAGAGATGGAGGACAGCTCATCCCTGCAGAAAAGTGAGTGTGCACTCAGCCCTGGAGGCTGTCAGACTTGTGTTGTGTTGTGAAGGAGAGACTGGACGTACATGTTCAGAGCTGTGCAGCCCCTGAAATCCATTGCTCTGAGCTGCTATGCTTTACCAGAGGAAGTTGCCAAGGTTTCTCCTGGGAAGTGGAGCAGCAAAACCACCAAATCTCCCCAGTTTATTTGCCAGACGTCTCTCTTTGCTTGAAGTTCTGTGCTCCAACCAGCAGAGCTGGTCTCCTTCCCTCCTCACTGCCTCTACCCGTATTCAGTCCTTTGCCAGGGATGGCTGAGGGAGCCTCTGGGGGCAGATAAGCAAAGCTGCAGATCCTGAAGCGTGGGTGAAGATTCAGAGCCTACACCTGATTCCTCCTGCAGCAGCTGCCCCTGGTGCCATGCATCATGTTGCCCAGCTATGGATCCAGCTTCTTCCAGGGCAGCACTGGCTCTAGCTGTGCATGCCACGAGCTGTTTGCCCTCACTGCTGAAGGGCAGATGGCACGTACTGCTGTGGTTCTGCTGAGACAGGGCTGTGCACAGTGTGTCCCATGCCATGGTGAGGGTGTGTGGTACTCAGCACCATGAGGGCATGAGGATGGGATGAGAGGGGTGCGCTGGGTGCATGCGGGAACATCAGCCTGTGTATGAAGAGCAGCCTGTCAGCACTGTGAGCTGCCTCTTCCTCACGGCTGGCACTGACTGCAGCACTCCTGGCTGCTTCCAGGTGGCTGTCCTCCCTCTGTCGAAGACGTCCTGCAGGATGGTGGCTGTGGGGAGCACAGGAGCCTGACGCAGTCAGACGCAGACCCTCCGGTCGATGTCTACCTGCCAGGTAATGGCTGCACTGCTGGGTGTGTGCTGTGCTGTGAGGTGGCCGAGGGGGAGGCTGTGGGCTCCATACCTCACTGCTGGCTTCCCAGAGTGCTGCAGCCCTACCTCCTCTGGGGCCTGGATGTCGCTCCAGGGGCCAGGATCTACCTGGAGCACAGGCTCCGCATCCCTCCAGTGCACAGAGCTGGCTGCTGGGGGTGAGGGGGGCTAACAGCAGGAACATTCCCCCTTTCTCTCTCCACCTCCCCCTCCCTTCTGTTTCTGTCCTTCCCCCCTTTCTCCTCTCTGGGCTAAGCCACTGGTACAGCACCTGGGACTGTTTGCATGTGGCTCCTGCCCCTGTCAGGAGGGTCCCAGCAGGGAGCTGCCCACACGGGCCAGAATGAACAAGGGGTGGGGTGAGAGCTTAGTGCCTGGGCCCTGACCTCCCTGCTCCTGTTTCCCAGCACCAAACACAGCCTCAAACTGCCCTTTGACCTAAGGAGGGGAATTAGCCCACCCCGGGTCTGGGAAGGGCCAGCGGGACACGCCTTGCTGACAGTACGGCTGTGGGGTGCAGTGCGGGGCCTTGGCCCCACCGTTCTCGTTGCAGCCTGTTTTCTTCCCTAGAGTCGCAGGCTGCGCTGAGCACCTCTCTAATGTCTCCTTCCCTCTCTGTCTGCCTTCCTCCCTCCTGTTTCGGGCAGCACTGGGTCCTGATTCCTGCTCTATTGGTATAGAGGAGTAAGCTGGTACGTCTTCTGTTCTTCTTACTCATCGCCGTGGTTGGGCAGCAGCAGCCCTGGGACCGCCGTGGGCGAGAACGGCCGTGCCCCCGCTTGCCGCTGGGGCCGATCCCGGCCCTGAGGGCCACCCCCCCCTCCAGCAATCCGTGCCAGCCGGCCCGGCGCTGCCCTTCACCCCTGCCCGCCCCACGGCTCCACGCCCATCTATTCAGCGCCGGAGCTCCACGGTCCGGTACTCCCGGAGCCCGGCGACGCTGCAGCTGCGGCGCTGCCCTCCCCCCCCGGCCGTCCCGCCGGCCCCGCACGCACGCCGGGTTCCCGGAGGGCTGGTGGCGCATCGCCCTCACGTCCTGCCTTGCAGCCGCGGGACCGCGAGACCCTACGGCCGACCGCGCTCCTCCTCCTCCTCCCGCAGGTTCGTCCGACTTCACGCAGACGCTGCCCGGCCGCGGCTCCGCCAGCCCCACGCAGCCCCTTCTGTTCGAGCAGATGCGCCTGCACCTGGAGGACGAGCACCGCCTCTCGTGAGCGGCCCCGCGCCCGGAGCCGTGCCCGCGGGATCCCCGGGACGGGGCCGCGCCGGTGGCCGTGAGGGGCCGGACGGCGCGGGAGGACGAACGCCGCCGCCGATGTACGCCCTGCGCCCGGCCGGGACGGCGCCGCGCGTTTCCCGGGAGCGCCGCGCCCCATCCCGTCCCTTCCCGGCCGCGGGGGCCGGGCGGCGCCGCCGTGTGCCTTCGTTCTGCTTCGTGCCCGGGCGGCGCTGCGCCGCGCGTTTCTATGTTTGTAGGAATAAAGGCCGCGGTCAGCCCCGCCTCCGGCCTCCTGCTGCGGGACGGGGCGGGCGGAGGGGCGGGGCCTGGGGAGGAGCGGGGATGCGGCGCGGCACGTGCCCGCCTCGTTCCCGGCGTGCTGTTCGGCGACGCCGCGCGGAGGATGCTGGGGCGGCCGCGCGCCCTCCCCCAGCTTTGATCTCATTGGGCTGCGGCGCGGCGAGCCTCGAGCGGCCGCTACCTAGTATGGCGCGCGGCGCGGGCGGTGGCGCGCGTCCCTATTGGCCGTCGGTCACGGGACCGAGGGGCGCCGTCGCTATTGGCCGCCCCTTCCGGAGACGGCCGCGGGAATTGGCGTGCGGAGCCGGGCTCCGATTGGTCGCGCGGCGCACGGCTGGCCGTCATTGGCCGACGACGGCCGTCGGTCCCGCCCTCCGACGTCGGCGCGTCCGCGCGTGCGCAGAGCGGGCCGGCGGGCGGGCGGCGAGGCGATGGCGGCCATGGGAGCCATGGGAGTGATGGCGGCCGTAGGAGCGTTGCCGGCCGGCGCGGGGTCCCTCCCGCCGCTGCCGACGCTGGGGGTGCCCGGCGTGCCCGAGCTGAAGCCGCTGACGCGGTACGAAGCCATGCGGCTGGGCCCGGGCTGGAGCCACTCGTGCCACGCCATGCTGTACGCGCCCAACCCGGGCATGCTGTTCGGCCGCATCCCGCTGCGCTACGCCGTGCTGGTGAGCGGCGACGGACAGGCGGGGCCGGGGCACGGGGACCGGGGCCGGGGACGGGAGAAGGGGACGCGGGATGGGGCCGGGGCCTAGTCGGGGCGCGGGGCCCAGGGCGGCGCGTTTCGGGTCGGGCCCGTTAACCCCCGCCCCCTATTGCAGATGCAGATGCGCTTTGACGGCCTCCTGGGCTTCCCCGGGGGGTTCGTGGACCGCCGGTACTGGTCCCTGGAGGACGGTCTGAACCGGGTGCTGGGCCTGGGCCTGGGCTGCGTGCGCCTGACGGAGGCCGACTACCTGTGCTCGCACCTGACGGACGGGCCGCATCGCGTGGTGGCGCATTTATACGCCCGGCAGCTGACCCTGGAGGAGCTGCACACCATCGAGATCAGCGCGGTGCACTCCCGAGACCACGGGCTGGAGGTGGGGCGCGTGGGGAGGGGCCGCGCGCGGCTGCGGGGAACACAAAGCTCCCCTTCCCGCCCGCCTCGAAGCCGCTGGGCCGCCCCGCCCGCTGCCTGGAGCCCTCGGCGGCCACCGGGAGCTCCGCAGCCGGGGATGCACCGCGGGCTCCAGCCCTGCCCCTCGCTGCCTCAGTAGGGAAAAGCCCCGTTTACCCGCTCTGCATCAGGATGTGGGCGGGGTCCGTCTCACACCTGCAGCGGAACCTCAGCACGGCGGCGCTTTGCTTTGCTCCTCGCTCTCCGGGGGTCGCACAAAAGCAGAGCAGGGGCACGGGCTCCTCCTGCGCGGCTCGGCCACCCTAAGGGCAGAGCGAGGCGTGGGGGTCTCTCGGGTGCTCCCTGAGCACACAGTGAGTGCCAGCGGGAGCAGAGGTGGCAGGCCCTGGGTTGTGGTGCTGCTGAGGATACGGGGCTGTGCTGCAGTGCCTCCAGGCAGGGCTGGGTGGGGAGGGGAAAGCGGGGATGCTCATAGCAGCCCGGGCAGCGGGATTCACCAGGGAACGGGGCTGGGACTGGGAGAGCAGGGAATTGGGGGTGTGGGGAGAGGCAGAGCAGGGGCTTCAGTGGGGCTGGAGGCAGGTGAGAGCAGGCTGCGATGGGGGTAGGGGGGGGGCACCAAGCACCGGGGCTGTGGGCTGGGGGTCCTGGGTGGGGGTGCGGGGCCTGGGGGGGGTGCCGTGATCCCCGCTGAGTTGTGCTCCGTGCCGTTGCAGGTCATGGGCATGGTCCGTGTCCCCCTCTACACCCAGAAAGATCGCATGGGTGGGCTGCCAAACTTCCTGGCCAACTCCTTCGTTGGAACTGCCAAATTCCAGCTGCTCTTTGCTCTGAAGATCTTGAACATGGTGCCGGAGGAGAAGCTGGCCGAGGCAGTGGCTGCCACACAGAAGCCGAAGAAGCCGGCGATCGACCACGCGGCCATGGCAGCAGCTAAGCAGGCCAACGAGCTGGCGGCGGCCGCCAGAGCAGGCAATGAATACGCAGATAGCGGAGAGAACCAGGCAGCTGCGCACGCTGCGGCCGAGCTGGCAGAGCAGCAGGCGGCCGGGCTGGAGAGCCAGGCTGTGCTGGAGCATCTGGCGGCCGTGCCGGGGGCTGAGGCCGTGGTGGCGGAGCTGCAGGCGCAGCCCGGGGCAGACGCTGTGCTGGAGCAGCCGGTGGCTGAAGCCATGGAGTGATGCCACCGTGTTTGTAATTGATTAAAAGTGGGTGAGGAGACTAGAGACTTTCTTCTAACTTTCCAACCAGTTGCTGGCTGCGAGATTCCACTGTGTAGCCAGGAGGGTTTGGAATTGTCTGAAGCAGGGGAAAGCTATGTATTTTTATGGCCATTAAACTCTAGCGAGCTTCCCAGATCAATCTGCACAGCCCCCTGCAGAGAGTTCATGTGCTTATGTGAAGGTGCTGAAGCCTTAGAATTACGCTTTGATTTCAGGGACACACTGCTGCTTTCAGGTCCCGGTTTCATTTTTAAGGAACAAAACTCTTATTTTGAGATGCCCTGTGTTGACTTGGACGCAGCTGTGTTTTGCAGTGGACACAGCTGAGGAATAAGGCTGCTGGTAAAGCGCCTTTGCCGTTGCAGGCAGAAGGGCTCTGCTCTGCTGGCAGCTGTGAGGCTGGGCTCCCATTGGAATGCCGGTGCCCGCGGTGACTTGCACTGAATTCCCTCTGGGGCACTGGGACATACTCTACTCGTGTGGGTTTCTATCTGGAGGTCTGCGGGAGCAGGAAAGTGGAATAAATGGCTTTGCTGAACGCTTTGCAGTCGGGATCTTTCTTGACTGCCAGCGCACAGCACTGGGGGGTTCCAGAAGGCTGCAGAGCTGCTGTCCCTGCAGGGGCCCTTCTGCCTGGAGAGGAGCGAGCACAGCACCTCTCTGGCCGCGGGCCAGGACAGCTTGCAGGGCGCAGGGTGCCGCAGGATTTGGGGTGCTGCACCTCTGCAAACTTCTGAAGCTTTTGCTGTTCGGTGACCCCAAGACAGTTCTTGCACGTGGTTGATGCCAGCAGCTCTGTTACAGGTGCCACAGCGGCTGTGTGGTGGGCATTCACTGCTCTCTAACAGCTGCCGCTGCCAGACCACAGGCAGCCAGTGCCTGGCCCAGCTGCCCTGAGCCTGCAGCTGCAGCAGGGCCCACGCGTGGCACACAGCTCTGCAGGCTGCAGAAACCATTTGCTAAAACCTCCAGCCCCTGCCTGCCCCATGGCAGCTCTGCCTCCCCTTTCCATCCCCATCCTGGTGCTGAGCCGTGCCCCAGCCCGGGCCCAACCTGTGGTCGCTGCAGCACAGCTGCTGCCTCAGCTCAGCGCCGGTGAGAGCAGAGCTGCCTCCACCACCGCCGTCCCTTTCCAGGCACTGGGCTCAGGCAGGGGTGTTGCTTTCCCTATTTGCTGCCTGTGTTTGTCCTGCCCTGCACAAGGGCCCCAGAGGTGCCCAGCAGGCAGCACCCCACAGCCAGCACAGGGCTGCTGCACACATTGTGGCAGAGTGCAGCACTGGGGGAAGGACCGTGATGAACAAACGACTCACAAAAGAGATTTGGTTTAATTGAAGACGTTTAGAGAGGCTGACGGCGGCAGCATGGTGCTCTTCAATAAATAACGGGCTGTGAGGTGGGGGTGTGATGCCATAGGGGATGGGGTGACAGGAGGATGGCACATAGACCACTCTGCTCCCCCAGGGATGTGCCTAAGGGCAGCAGCTGAGGAGTTGGGGTGCACAGGGGCAGAAGGATGGCGGGGGGGAACGTCACATCAGTGCCAGGAACATGGAGATTCATTCTGGTCTAGAGGACATAAATGCCGTAGAAAAGCAGGACCTTCGGTTGCTAAATAAACTCATACAAACCAAGAGGAATGTTCAGGTAGGAAGTGGCGGAGCTGAAGGAAAAAACAGTTACACAAATGAGGGTGACAGAGAGCTTCGGGGCTCCCAGGAGCAAGAGCTGTGATGAGGAGGGGCTGCAGGCACCACAGCTGCCGCTGGGAGCAGCCAGGCTGGGTGAGGGGCAGCAGCCTGAGCAGGGCCTGCAGGTAACAGAGCTGCCCGGCTCACACCTCGGCAAAGCCAAAGCACAGCCGGCACTGCAAGCACAGCCACGGGGCCGTGGGGGCAGGGGGACTCACACGCAGCCACCGGCCCTGCGGCAAAGGGCAGCGGTGCCTTACGTGCATGAGGCCCTCGGGGCACAGGTAAGGAGGTCTTATGCCACTGCCAACCACCCCTGCGAGCTGGTGCTGGCCAGGGCTGCCTGAATGCGTAGCGGGGGAAATGCTCACAGGGAACCAACCTGGAGCAGTTCTGCTGCACCGTGCGCAGTGCTGGCACGCTCTGCTCTGCATGCAGCTGCACCACGCTGCGCTTGCTGCCAGGCTGTGGCTGCAGGGCTGTGCAGCTCCACGAGCAGGGAATGCTGACAGCCACAGGCAGAGCCCACACTGCATTACTTCCATGCCCCAGCCAGGGATGGTCTCCCTGCCCAGCCAGAACCTCCCCAGCTGCACCGTAGCCAGCACTGTGTGCCAGCCCTGGCTCTCCCTGCAGCTCCCTGCACTGCACTCTGGCAGGC